TTACACAATGGCTGCCTGCAGGACATGGTTTCATCAGGATCTAATATGAGGACATGTATAGGTGTGGGTCTATTGGATAAAAAGACTCCAAACACTGTTGCCGTTCCCTTAGGGCACTGTAGATTCAAGACTAGAAAAAAACAGAGGCCCCTCATGTCATTCACACAGCCTATACAGCCTGCATTACATGCCTACTGTTGGTGGAAAAATGCACAATACTGCTGATTTAATTCGGATTTATTTATTATTGAGTGTCTTGCTGCTGTTTTCCTCCCCGTTTCCAACCTGCAAACAGCAGGTAGGCTGATGAGCAGCATCGTAGCACTTCTTAAGCCATAATCACTTCACTTTAGCGCTCATACGATCCCTATAAAGCCAGCAGGTTGATATTGTCGCCGTGTAGGCCTGCGTAGCGCACTTGATGCTCAGATTGTTTTTGAACGGCCGCATATTGCTCATAGTTCATTACCTATTTATGGCTCCGACACACACCTTCGTATATGCAGCAAAAGGCGAAATCTTCGCAGTCGGTGTATAAAAAGAAACATCACGAGCAAACATGTCATATCTAGAGCAAATAATGAAACATCTCGCTATGTACGCGCACAGATACAATCTTTGCGGGGCTTCACCGCCACAAATCTTCGAGGCCTCTTCAGCAATTAACAATTGACGGGTGAAAAAAATAAAACACACACAGCACAGTTTATCCCAAAATATTGAGCGAGGATGATGGCATTTACCTTCCACAGTTGCAGTGACAGACGCGGTCCTCCCCTCGTAGATGCGGTAAGATGTAGTTGTGAAAGCGATCCAGTAGTGCGTTCATGTCCATTAAACAGGCTATCGCCTGCAAAGAACCATGCAAGTCAGCTGGGACATGTCAAGCAAATAGGCTAGGCTATTCCTGCAGACAGCGAATTATTCTCGTCATCATTATCAGGATAAATAACAACAATAATAAGGATCATGAAGGGAAAAAAAGGAGAGAAAATAGCCTTGGCAGATCCTCCCGATTCTAAAAGGGGAGGGAGAGGGGGGGGGCTCTTGCCTCCAAACGGACTTAGATTATTTATTTATGACAGCAGGTAATTATAGGTAGGCTAACCTACTTCCACATGTCATTCATAGGCCTGCTGTAAGGTGCTTTCACGCAACAATTGTAATGATCTGAATATTAGCCTCGGTGCGTAAATTAGAAAAGAAAAACGTATCGTGGCTGATGGAGGTGAAGATGTCTTACCATTACAACTGAAGCACCAAGAATCATAAAAATCATGGTGGTTGTGATCATATGCATCAAAACTTCCAAACTGGCCGCCGTCCTTTGGCCCGGGCTTCTACCCGCGGCGGTGGAGACGCTCCGGCTTGGCTCTGGGCGCTCTGTCCCGGCAGGAGCCGCTCATGGAGCCGCCGCGCCTCTCCTGGCTCCCCGTGCCTTTAAACTGCCCGGTTCTCCCTCCGTCTCCTCCTACACACCGCACGCCGCTCTCTCAGTCCCTCACTGCGCCCTCTCCATCCAAGTCTCCCCCCCCCCCCCGGTTGGTCTCTCGGATGCGGCTGCCTCTAGCTCCAAGGAGGCTCCTAATTACCAATGCAAAAGTGAGCCGTTCTTCCAGGTGCGTGTCTATCTCTATCCCAGTTAAAAAATAACATAAAGCAAAAACAAGTGAAGATCCCTCGATATCCTACAAGGGCTATCCTCTCTCCCCCCCTCCTTTTTCCAAGTTATTCCACACCGGCGCTGCGCTTTAATACCGGCCAATTCTGTCCTCCATCGGCGGAAACGGTCGATTTCTCTCTCTCGGCTGGACGTTTCAAAGAGCTGCACCGACTCCTCTCGCGGCCATCGCCCTCGTCTTTCTCGGAATGCTTGATAACATCGACATGAGGTCCAGATCGCTCCAGTCGGGAACTAGACCCACCCTGCGCCCCGAGTCCAGTCCGGATCCAGCAACGGCAGCTGCATCAACGCCCGGAGCCAGACACGCATGATTATCCCATACCGGCTTCCAGCAGCTACACGAGCATCCACTCCCACCTCTTGTGTGTGTGTGTGTGTGTGTGTGTGTGTGTGTGTGTGTGTGTGTGTGTGTGTGTGTGTGTGTGTGTGTGTGTGTGTGTGTGCGCGCGTGCGTGCGTGTACGTGTGTTGGAGAGAGAGAGTGTACAGTGGGCGGTAAGAGAGGGAAGATCTGCAAACTGCCTTTGTGGCATCGGCCTATAGGCTCATTATTTATAGTGGTGGATACCTGCAGATGCACTGTAGGGCTTCAATCTTCATGATGATTTAACCTCCGTCTTCTCCAGAGGCTTAACCCCTTTTACCCCCCCAATACTGCCACTAAACACAAGCAGACACACAAACGCCCTTGCTTGCTATTTCTCTTCTAGACATTACAGCTGTCCAGTTGCTGATTCTGCACCATTCATGCTGGGTTATTTGTATTATTCCGCATGTTTATTGTCAAAAATATTATACCTTTCTGGAATATAGACTGTAAGGTTTTTCCTTTAGCTAGTCAGCCAGCAGGAGTAAAATAGTTTTCCTTCAAAACATTTGAAGAATGTCTTATATTCTCTGGACAAATTGAAATCACTGCAATATTTAATATCAGATGTAATATTAGGCCTATAGGCCTATGTATTGTGAAAACTAAAGCTAAGTACAATATCAAAAGTGGATGTGTGTCAGGTTAAACTTCTTCACTACCAAAATATTTTTGTAAATACTTATTCAGACCAAACTACAAATCATCCAATAAAATGTGAAATGACTCCAAATGTATCATGCAGCCTAACCAAACAGACTAAGTAAACAATGGCATGGAAATAAAAACAGCGGGAAGACAAATAAATGTTTTCTATGCAATCAAAATGAACATCATGTTCGCATGGACACGCTTGCATCACTGCCATAGAATACATTTTCTGAAATGTTGAAAATAAATGTAAATGTATATTTTAAGACATTGTTACGAAATAGTCACTTATCTTGTGTTATTCTTTATCAAATTTCCCTGCATACATGAATCCATCTGCTGTCATCACCCAAAGGCACACAGCCAGTGTTATTTCACTTCCAACCCCCATTCAAGAAACACCGCCAAGCTGGGTCACAGTGTAGAAGACTGTAATTGAAATCTACAGAAAGGGGTTAATGCTAACACTTGATAGTAAAATGACCTGAAACCATAACATTCAACTAAAGTGGAAATAAATTGTAACTTGCACCAATATAATATGTTGCTTTGAAAGAAAGACACAGATGGTATTCTTTTATTTTGATCTGTTGTCTTTTTTTTGCAAGGCAATGGAGATTTCTGTTGAATAGTGATACGTGCAATGATTTTCATGGGACAAATTCAATAAAACGCTGACCTCAAGAAAAGGTGGTCAGCCAATCACTGAAGCCAAATTAGACACAGCTGAGGATCAAGAAAAATGTGACCTAACATGAATACATTAAAGAATTATTCACATGTCAAGGAGCTCGGAATTCGAGTGACCTTGTTTCTAGAAAGATAAATTGCTGTTGAATATCTTCATGGCTTTACCATTTGCAATGAGTCATGAAATTGGAGTGAACTGATTCTTTAAAGTCTATTTCCATTGGATTACAAAGACCATATCCTGTGGATCGCAAATATACCAACTTTTTCCAAAAATAGCAGTATTTTTATTTTGCTTTACTGGAAAAAGGTAAACTGGGAGAAAACATGTTTTTGTCACGGCTTTATAAATTACACTTTACAATATGTCTATGTGTGGAATGATAAACTGCTTTAGGTTATTCTATTGGAGGAACCTCTTAAACCTGTACCAAGATATTTACTCATGTAGGATATTAGCACAGGTGAAGAGGTGGCCTATATTTCATGATTACACTCTGCAGGTATCCATATCAAAGAACTTGTGTAATGTCATGAAAAAAGACAGTAGGAATACAATTGTTGGCATAAAATAAATGTAACATAGTGAAATCAGTTGGCATAAGATAATAACATAATATTATAGACTGAAGTTAAAAAAAGCATGTGTCCTGTTTGACTCACACACCCTCTCTCCCTCACACAAACACACACACAAACATACTGTACATGTATATAAAATCCTGTGTTGTCCACGCTTGGCTGACCGCCCTTCTGTTTCAGTTACGTGACTGATGCTGATTGCTGCACATGAAACAATTCATGGCTAGCCTTGAGGCCATTGCATATGTTACTGTAACACACAATGCCATCACTCACTGGGGTCTATATTAAACTACACAGTACACGCTGACATTTGCGCGTGCATGTCCAGTTTCTGTTACTGTTTTTGTGTAAATTAGTAGTTTTTGTAGTTTTAGGTAACAGAAAATGGCTTTCTTCTGTATTTTCTAGTGTAGTTTTATGTCTTGCACATTATTTTGTCTCAGTGTGTCTGCTGGTCTTTTTTACTCAGCAAACATCCTGTTTATTTCTTCTCAGCCCACTCCTCCTCCACATTACTTTCAGCAACTGCGTGGAGTCATCAGAAGGAGTTGGTGGTGGTGAGTAGATTTTTCTAAGAGAGGAGGAGAGCAGAGAGGGTGGAGTGATTTTTAAAAGCAACATTTCTTATAAAATTGCTACTCCTACTTTGTCCTGAGTCACAGTCTGCAATATAAGATGACTCGGAGATGTTTTAGTTGTGACTACTATTAGATAGATATATATAGATATATAGATATATAGATAGATAGATAGATAGATAGATAGATAGATAGATATATAGGTAGATAGATAGATAGGTAGGTATATGGATGGATGGATAGATGGATGACAGACAGACAGACAGACAGACAGACAGACAGACAGACATATAGATTAGATTTATCTGAAAATCACAAAAGGGTGCAGATTGGTACAAATTATCAATACAAAATTGCCACTAAGCCATCTTTAAAACGATAAACATATTGAAAGTTATAGTTTTGGTTATAAAAGTATCTGCTCAATGTAAAAAATGTTTTGCCTAGTTTGGCCCATTCCCCCTTCCGTACGTTTCGACGTAAACGGACACACGGAAGCGGAACATTTGTTGTAAACAAAACTGATACAAACCATTACGAGTCAGACAAATGAAACAAAAAGAGACATTGTCATATTTTGTAAAAACCCAGCTTGTTAACGGTAAGCATCCTTCTATTTACTGTTAACCGCTCCAGTTGTTGTCTATGTAGGGAATGCTACAAGCGGAAACATATGATTTATTATGTAATGCCCAGCCGTTTAATGCTAACAAGCTAGCTGCTAGCTGCCGAACTTCATGTCAGCTAACAGCTAACTTGACTCAGTTTGTGTTAGCTAACAAGTAATACTAATGTACTAGTACTGTCAGTACTCCGTTACAATTACAATTAATAATATAATATAGTTAACTTATAGTCAGCTATATAACCAAACTGGCCTTATTGTCAAGTTATTCAACGTACGTAATTCTAAAATTAACCTTACAAAGTCAACTAAATACAGTTAAAGTTGTTGCTAATAATGTTAAGTCACTGGTTATATCAGTTTTTATTGCATAAAACCTCATCCCTAAGTTAAAATCCTATATAATGAGTGTTTATTTTTATTTTTGGATGCAGTGTTCATTTAATAAACATAAACACCAACAAGGGAGGCTGTGGCTCAGTAGTTAGTGTGCTGAACTTTGAATCAGGGGATAGCAAGTTCAAGTCCCACTGCAGTCAGCATGTCGTTGTGTCCCTGGGCAAGACACTTCACCCCAAATTGCTCCTGTGGGGATTGTCCACAGTACTGAATGTATGTAAGTCGCTTTGGATAAAAGCGTCTAACAAATGACATGTAATGTAACTTCTTTACATTTTTTCTAAGCTAACGTTTTCTTGTCAATCAGACAATATGGTTTGGTCACTGTGAACCATGCCGAGATGACACTGGAACAAACTGTTTATTTATATTTTGAGTATGCCAACATGAATAATAGTTCATGCTGTAGCGTATAGCTACTGTCCATATGAATAGAAAAAGTAACTCAGCATGGACGTGTATAAGTCACTGAAGGTATATTGTCTTACAGCTAAAAAGAAGACTATCTGGCTGAAATAACCACCTCTTTATATTAAATCTTCACCCCCCTCACCTCTGTTTCGTTTTCATCTTTTTCAGATGTTTGGCATGGGTTGAAGCAGGTCCCATCTTGTTCCTATAAGAAAGCATATTTTGGTGTTGTAGGCCCGCAGAAACAACAGTAGCCAACATGTCCAGGAAGCAGACGACGAAACCTGTCGGGAGAAACAAGAAGAATGAAATGGAACGCAAGAGGGACGAGCGGGCGGCACGCAGGGCCATCGTGAAGGACCGCAAGAACCGGCCTCAAGACGGGGATGATGGAGCAGAGTTTGTCAGTTTCTCCAACCAGCTCCAGGCCCTGGGGCTCAAGCTGAGAGAAGTCCCCGGAGATGGGTAAGAGCCAGAAAAAGATTGTGGGTTCCTGCCCTGCTGTGCTGTGCTGTCTTTAACCATCACTGAAATGGCAACATGTGTCTCTTAAATCCTATTATATACAGAAAGCTTCAAGCTGTCTCATCATGAGTTACCAGGATGCCTTGGTAGAGGAACAAAATGTCTCCAACCTCTATGCCTACACCTCCCAAGCCCAAAGTCAATAACAATGTACTGTAAATGGAAGTGCAACCTATTTGTAGCTGCATGGTGGCTGCATATTAGAGACCAATGTACTTGACTAAATGTACTAAAGCCATAACATGACAATCTTCATCTCTGTTGAAACATGATTTGTGTTCACTTACTTTCTATAACAGGTATGTGCCATTTATGATAGGAAAACAACAAGGAAAATATGTGTATGTTTCTCTAGCTAAATGAAAAATCATGATGGGAATTAAATCATGTACCCTATAGTCTTGCTTCTATCTCTCATGAGTCTGTTATCTAAAAAAGAATAATAAAGGATATAAAGAACTTTATTCATTGTCATTGGCCCAAGCCCTGAAACTTGCTAGCTAATGCAAATGTTCATAAACCCAAGCTTTTGTAAATGTAAATATGTTAACATAACACAACCTTCATAACGGCCAAGAACCTCAACACTGAGTTGTTTAACTGTAGGCTGTCATGTCTGGACATATAAGTCACTGTCTCTGTTTCTTGCAGGAACTGCCTATTCAGAGCTCTAGGCGACCAGTTGGAGGGTCACTCCCGGGGTCACCTGCAGCTTCGGCAGGAGACGGTCCAGTATATGATGTCCCATCGGCAAGACTTTGAACCCTTTGTTGAGGATGAAGTTCCCTTTTCCCAGCACTGTAAGAAAATGACCTAATGTGGGACACTGAGTAAATAAAATGAAACGCTATTTTCATATAGGAGACTTTAATTTAGGCCTCATTTACTACTTGATGAGGCCTACACAAATTACTGTACAGAAAAAAACATTTTAACAAGAAAACAATGCAGTGACCCCTGGTGGTCCTCAGTTGATTCTGCAATGTGTAGTAAAAGGGTTTGGATGAAAGACTTTCCTTTTAATGTTTGTTTTTTAACTTCAAACAGCAGCTCTAATGCTCCCTTTGTCAGTAGTCCTAGAAGGCAGATTTGTCTGTTTGTGTGAAAACATGAACCTGTAGATGTATCCGTTCACATACTACGGCTCAGCTTTTGCAAATTCCCGCTTGTTTACCTGTGAGTTAGTGGCTCATTTGACTTTTTCAGGCCCCAAAAAATATGAAATTAAACTGAGGCAAAACATAGATGGATAGATATTTACTTTATTTATCCCAAATTGGGAATTGATTTTGTTCCAGCAGCAGTGTCAAGCATTACACGAGTTAGACATGTTTAAAAGATACAATAAGATACAAATGACTACACAAAGATGCCCCACACACTTTGGTTCCTAGTGTCAGTGTATCTGCTGCAACAGCATTATAGAAAGTAAAATAAAATGGTTGTGTGATTGCAGTGTAAGCTTATATTGTGAGTAATGGTTTTTGTCTCTCTCCACCCAGTGTCTAACCTCTCTCAGGCCGGTACGTTTGCTGGCAATGACGCTATCGTGGCTTTTGCTCGCAGTCAACAGGTGAAAGTGGTCATCCATCAGCTCAACGCACCGCTGTGGGAGGTAGGCAAAGCCTTTCAAATGATGTAAGGTAATCTAATGATGAAATCCCTTCAGGGACACCACATAGTTTATGTGTTCTGTTCTCTTTGCAGATAAATGGTGCAGAGAAGCAGGCGTGCAGAGAGCTGCACATCGCCTACCGCTACGGAGATCATTATGACAGTGTGAGGCGGACCGGAGACAACTCTGAGAGTCCTGCCCAGCTGCGCATAGAGGTATGACTTACAATGGGTGTTCAATGGAGCAGCATTCAGGGAAATATCCCCAATTTTAATTAAAGAGGCCCTATTAGGCTTTTTGAGGTTTTACCTTTCTGTCCCATACACTCCCCATCTGCCTGAAACGCCTCCATTGGACTCCTTTGTTTATTTTTGTAACATAATGACATAGTTATGTAGAACTAGCGCTTCTATTGGCTAGCGCTCCAACACGTTGCACGTGATTGGCTACGGGGCGGGACATTTTTGTAGTGGTTGACAAATCCACAGAGCCGGTCAGCTAACCAATCAGAGCAGACTGGGCTCTGGTTTCAGACAGAGGGTGAAAAGAGGTGCTGCAGCACAGGCAGTATGAGACAAATAAAGAGCTTTTGGAACATTAAAGCATGGAGACATGTCACAGTAGAGGCACACAATACAAATATGAAAATGAAAATCCGCATTATATTCCCTCTTAAAAACGTATCAAAATGTGGTGTCACTCGATGTCCCTGTGAAGTTTTGGATGTCACGGACAAATGGGGGAAATTATGTTGAAATTTTATTATTTTATATTACATTTATTTTATATTATTTATAATATATATTTTTCTTGGCCTAAAAACAATGAACAGAAAGGATATTTTAAGAGGGACATCACAGAGGCATGAAAAAAGAAGGCTGAATCAAGTCCTGTCAATAGACTCTCGCAAATAACGCAACAATAAATCATATTGATATTATGCAAGGTGTTACTCTTGAAGCAAACATTCCCCTCAGCTCTAGGACGACATATTCTCATAAAAAACTGAATAAAACATATTTTTTAACAAACCATTGGGAGAATTATTCTCACTTGACATTGCCTGGAAGATTGAAATTAGTCGGACTTCAACAGATCCAGGTCACATTTTGGTCAATACTGTCAAGCAAAATCATTAATAACAGGTCCACCTCTTTAGAGAAGTGCCTCAAACCACATTTACATCTGTGAAGGCATTCTTTCCTTATGTTTAACAACATCTCTTCCTATTGCTGTTTGCAGAATCTGCAGAATACACACGGCCATCAGCGTGAGTTCGGGGAGGGACAGCGGGCCAGGAGGAAAAACTCTTCTCCCTCAGCCTTAGAGGAGGACAACGTGATCCTGAGCTCCATCAAGAACCGAGGAATCCCGGGTCAGAGGCTACGCTTGATTCATTAGCTGCCAGAAGAATTAGACTGTCAGGGCAAAAGGGCCAGGAAACCTTATTACAGACTTCATAACCATCAGGCGTTCAAGAACGTCTGTTCAGCTAAGTTTCCCGTTTACCCCATAAACAGTTGCTTTGGTTCATCACTCGAATCAACCCTAACAATTCCGTAACAGTAAGTGTATTTCCTGAAATGATTCCGAACAAAAAGCACCACAGAATACCTGCAAACTTGCTCAAAGTACCTTTAAGTTAATGTTTAAATAAATGAGTCAAATCGATGACTCCTTGTGTCATTCTATACATAAAAGATTGTAAAAATGCTTATTGTCAATATAACATATTTTCTACAACTAACTGTACATGAGAGATAGATTGCAAGATATGGATTAGGTCTCACATTTGCACCTTTACTGTTGTCATTAGGAAACAGGAAAGGAGTCATAAGATGAAGTAAAACAAAGACACCCAAGACAAAACATACCTAAAACCACAGAACAAAAAGAGACACAGACACAAAAAAAACATTTTGTTTAATTATGTACCTATATTGTGAAGAGTGCAGCTTACAAAGCATCCTAAGAATGTGTCTGTGTCTGCATTCATTACTAGAAACTAATCCCAGAACAAAATATATGGATTTAGAGGTAATACTTTCTTACCCTTCACCAAAAAATTGCAATTTTAGGTCTCGACCACACCAGATGACCAGATGTAGCAGATAATTTAAGAATTAGTTTTGCATTTGCTATTTGTTCAAACAAATGAGAATGTATGATGTGTAACTAGATCATTTCAAGGTTGAGCAAGTGTTTGATCAGGATCTGATCTGAGAAAGGTACCAAAGCGACTGAGAATAGACCGTTTGCTTGCACTGACTGGTTTTCTTGACTGTGTTTTCCCTGCCTCAGGAGACGAGGAGAACCTGCTGCAGCTGAGTGCGGCCACCATCAACTCTGAATGGCTTGTTGGCTGCGTGCAGGGTCAGTGCTCCTCTGGATCCTGCTCCGCCTGCAGGGCTCAAGCCTCAGACTGCAGCGAGCACAGACAGCCAGCAGAGTGCAGCAACGTACAAAGGTCAAAGGTAGATACACACTGATTACACAGCCTGTCTAGACATGACATGTTTTTTAGACAAATTAATCGCACAGGTACTTGCAATACCATTTATTTGGACCAAAAAACAGCGTGTGTATGGCAACACGGTAAAAAAGCAGTTAGCTCATCCCAGTGGCAATTACACACCTGTATTCGTGAGGTTGGACATTGAAGCAAATGTTCGTCGTAGCTCAACGGTGGTACTACAACTTGTGTGCCAGTCCGTGATATCATTGGGCCCAAATACACTTTCTGCCTTACATTTGGTGGAGGGAACTTTGGGATTTTAGCCTTTTCAGACCATTTACATGCACAAACACGTATATAATACACTACAGCAGGGGTGTCAAACTCAATTTCATCGCGGGCCACATTAGCATTATGGTTGCACTCAAAGGGCTGGTTGTAACTTTAAGACTATATAAATAATATATACATATATACATATAATATATATATATAAAATAATGTATTATACATTATTGCCTCTGCATTGGATTATTATCGGATAGGGTAATAACTTCCTAATTAACTACGTCTGAAAGCAGAAGTCTAGGGCAAATAATTGCAAGTCTCTTCAGTGCGCATGTCACAAAATGAGATGCGTGGGACATGTAGTTTATGGACAACGTGCTTCTGTAATGTGGCATGTAACCATATAACAAAACGTATTATATTATTTGCAAGCTCTTGCGGGCCACATAAAATGGGCCTTGAGTTTGATACCCCTGCACTACAGGAAAGAGAAAACCCCAAAAAGTAGAATAGGGCCCTTTTCAATTGAAATTCGTAAAACTGTCTCTTTTTTTCCTTCACTCTCAGGTATCTAACAAGCAGAGGAAAGAGCAGCAGCGGCAGGAGAAGAAGAAGCGTCAGGAGGACAGGCACCGGCAGAAGTTCATCCAGAGTAAAGGGAGTCAGGACCAGAACCAGAACCTGCCAGAGACTGTTACTTTGGTACCAGCCCTCAACACTCTCAGCATATAAGACTGGAGCATTGCCAAAATCACCTACTGCTACTATCGCTGCTGGTGGCTGTGTTTTTGCACATAGTCAAATTCGATTCAGTCGCAGTGAATTACTTTTTTTTAAAGAGAAGCCTTTAGTCTCTTTGCTAACGGTGCCTGCAAAAAGTGTGTGAGATGTGTGAACGTTGTAAAAGAGAGAGTGAAAGAGCATGACCTTTAGTGTTTTTGGGTCTACCTGCCACGCCATCCTGGTCCCTTTCTATGCTGGACCATCTGGCTTTCCATGACAACCATGCACATGATCTCCGTGCAGCTGGGCTTGTTTTTTTGCCACAGATAGAGTTTATTATTGATGTTTGGATCGCTACATTTGTTCAATCTCACCAGAGGGGGATGTACAGGAAGAGCGGCAGAATAATTATTGTTATGCACACTGTGAGGAATGTGGCAATAAATAACTATACATGATAAATTACTGTTTTATCGCACCAGATAGTATATTAAATATTATCTGGTGACGTTTTTTGTGTTTTTCAAGTTATAGGTTTCTTTCCCTTTTTTTTAATGAATATAATTTGCTGTTGGAAAAAATCACCAAAATCCAACCAACTGGACAGAAACCAACAGTTTGGCTTTAAAGACACAACATTTTTCTTGGGGTTTGGCTTCCCTCATTTGAAAATCGGCAACGTGTTCCAGGGTAAATATTTAACGGTTGCGTAATCTTATCACAGGGATGCAAACACACGTATGGTGAAAAAAGAGAACTATTCGAAGCAGAAAAAAAACAGCGTAATATACCATCTGACAAAGGCCTGTGCTATAATGCTTCAATTAATCAGAATCAGAATCAGAAACAGGTTTATTGTCAGGTAGGTTCGCACATACTAGGAATTTGACTTGATGTCATGGTGCATACATAAAATATAAAACACAAAATCTTCTACACCGTACTAAAATACAGTTAAATAGCAATACAATTAAAAATAAAATAAAGCAGTAATTTACATGGAAATAGAATGCTATGAATGCATTTTTGCATATAAACTATGAAATGTGAAATCAGAATATGTGCAGAAAGGAGTATGACATTGTGTGCATTAATGTAATGCATATAGTCTATGATGTGGCAGAGGTAAAGTGTCAGCGGGAGAGCGCAGCCTCCTGCCAGAGGGGAGGGGGGCGAACAGTTTGTGTCCAGGGTGGGAGGGGTCGGCCACTATCTTCCCTGCCCGCCAGGTCCTGGAGGTATGCAGGTCGTGGAGGGATGGCAGATTGGATTGCAGCCGATCACCTTCTCTGCAGAGAAGAGTATAATATACTCAGATCAATAGGAGACAGATGTTAAGTTATAAATTAAGGGTTTTTATTATTATTTACAGCAGGGGTGGAGAACCTTTTTCATCTCAAGGGCCATTTCAATTTTTACAACATCCTCCGAGGGCCCGTACAAATGATTGAACTCAACCTCTACTAAAAAAAACTAAAATCACAGCCCATTCATTTCGCCTTTCTTTCATTCTGTGCAAAGAAAAAGCAACCTCTTAATCCAGATATCTTAACATGACTCGCGCACCAAAACAGAAAGATATGGACACAAGATGTGTGCAAATGTATTTAGTTTCCTATCCATGTGAACATGATTTAAGTGTGTGTGTGGGGGGGGGGCTAGCGAATTGTCAACGGGGGGGGGGGGGGGGGTGCCAGCGAAAATGATGCCATTTAAAAACATAAACGGCCGTCAGCTACTCGAGCCGGCCCTTGACCACCGGCTGTTCTGTGATTCTCCAGATTCTCCAGATGGCCAGTCCGCAGAGGGTGGAAAATACATACCGGAAATAAACAAAGACGTGCAACGGGAAGGTGTTCCCACAGGAAACAAAACTTAAAATATTAAATGAAACAATCTCATCTCTTAAAATTCACAACTTATTATGAATCAAACATTCACAAACTTATAATTATGTATTCACATGTTTAACTCTGTTACATATGCACGCAACGAACAGAAGAGCGTAGGGCAGAATTAGGAGGGAAATCGACCAGTCGATTTTTTTAAATGTTGAAGTTAAAAGCATCAATCTGGTGCACTATGAGAGCAAAATTAAGAGATCTATGGATACATCTCCCAACACCCATATGAAACAGAACAGTAAACAGATTTATTTTCTTTATGGATATTTTACAAATCACTCCCCTTTCAAACTGTATTCTTGTTTATTAATAACAACTTTTTGTTACTATATAGTATTTTATACCCGTTTTTCATTTATTCTCTTATTTTTTATAACTATAATGATCATATCAAGGTGTGCCTTAACCTCACTGAGCTGAGGTTATTTGAGCCTCTCAGTCTGTCAGGAGAGAGCTCTCTTCCACCTGGTTGTAGAAAAAGCTCTTTATATTCGTTAGCATAGCTATCTAACCAGATGCTAATAACAACAGATCGCCACTGGGCTTACAACTAAAGTCAGCCACGTAAAAACTGCAGCTGTGTGTGTACAGCTCCTTATGGGTACTGCAATATTTGAAGTGCTGGAGCGGCGTTCCGATGCTCTCCGTCAGCAATACACCACGTGTTTTGTTCAAGGAACCTGTCCTTGGCCAGGAAAAACAGGCACTCGCTTGTTTAATTCTTTTGCGGTCTAGATTTGTTGAAGTGGGAAGTTGTCCGTCTGTCCATGTTATCAGGAAATATACTATTTAGTATTTGACTGGCTGTTATTCAAATAAGAGCTATCTTGAATGCAGTTGTCAAGAGGTTAATTGTAGTTGTGTAATTATTAACCCACGGTAGATAAATGATAAAGACCCTCAGCAATGGACATTTCTGAGCTAGCAATACTGTATGTCCTTCAGCTGAAGATTTAGCACAAAATACCATGCCTAAAAGTAGCATTTTAAATGGGCCTTGGCATGTTGATAACTGTATTTGAGCTTTACAGAAATTCCACACAACAAAAAATCCATGGTTTCTCCGGTTGAGTGATGTAGGCTCCTCCCTGCGCTGCAGGTGGAAACGAGTAGTTTTTTTTATTATATTGTGGGAGGGACCGCAATTTGAATGCCCTAAACCTGCCCGCAATAAAGAAACCGTCTTGATGCAGAAAGATATAGTTAACTAAGCAACACGATAGTGGGATATAAATAAGTCCAATCCACACAGGAAGTAGAAAATGTTCATTTTATTAAAACAGCATAAATGAAGTCACGGTGGGGCTCGCATAGAAAAGTGTCATGGAAAAACTATGTACACTAAATCTTTAACACTCCTGTTGGTGGATGGCCTCGAAACACTGAAACCTACACGCTGGTATAAATCACCCTTTAAAGACACATTATGTAACTTTTGCTGAACAATGTTTGTATGACAGTGGCACAAGCAGAAAGACATGCCAGCAAATATACCTAACATTCGCTAGCTTTAGCCGCCTTTGGCTACCTAGCAAAGTTTGATTCATTGCTAACAATTTCACATTTCCATTTGTAAAAATAACTAATTTTTTTCTCGTTGACAATTATACATAGCCCCACTTTAAAAATGTTTAACCCTTGAAAAATAAAAGTTATCCAAAAGCTGCAATATTCAAAATTCCCCCGGTGTTTTCAAGGTACACTATGAGGTTTCCAGACTGTACAGGTGACGGTTGCTCCTCAGGTTGCAGTTAATGAAACATGATGACATCTTTCTGACTAAGGGTCTGATCAGTTTGTAGATCAGTTCTCCGAGGGTTAAACTTGCTCTAGAAGTCCTGTCGGATGTTCTCCTTGTTCTCGTCCCCTTGCTGCTGCCGGAGCTGCGTCACTTCGTTCTCCAGCTGTATGATGGCGCGCTCAATCTCAAAGTTCTTACTGACCAGAGACACCCAGCTGTGTAGGGACAAAAACAAATGTTACAACAGGAAAATATTACCCCCCCCATGGTGATATATAATTCTTCAAACAACGTACTTTGACTCCAGCTCTCGCAGTTTGGCTCCTCCAGCTAACTGGTCGTTCTTACGCTGCCAATTTAGATCTTGAATTTGCTTCCTGTGTAGCAGAAAGAAAATAATTAGTCAACATGTGAAAATGTATTTAATGACACCTTCATCCAGCACAACTGTTCTAGTCACCTGAATTTCTGCATTTCCTTTTGAGCAATCTCAATCATGAAGGCCAAGTTACTAAAGGAGGAAAATAAGAACACGTTAGCAGTCTTTAGGGGAGTTTATACACAGAGTTAATGTCAGAGAAACGACTGCCGTCTCTTACTCGTTGTAGACTTTCCACGCGTTGGTTCCGTACTGCGACATGAGCTCCAGGTTATCAATTCGGACCGCCTGGTGCTCTAGCTGGGCCATTGAGTTATTCACGCACTCCTGCCAGGCTGTGATGTCATTCTTCTGTCCGGCTGACGGTGCTGGAAGCTCATATCTTCACAAGAGAAGAAAGAACTGTCCATAATTTACACCATTTAAAGCCACAGAGCAAAAACATTGATGAAAAAGTCAATTTAATAAAAAATACACCCACCATTTGTCTAAGTTACAAGTGCACCTCTACATTGTTGGTATTTCTATCCTTTTTAGTGTATACAATGTGATATACACAAATTGATCTAAGTTTTGGCATTAGAAATTACAGGAAAATCCCCTATTTCTGCTAAAATAAATTGTCACATTAGCTGAATTTAGTAAATAAGCCTGATGTTACAGGGTTGCTTTTGTTTTTAAACTCAAGTGTTGATTTGTGTTCCATGAAATTAGTTCACTTATTGGTTTGATACAGATAAGTTTACCTAGTAGTTTAATTTCAGGATGCGAATAAAAGGCAAATAAAATGAGCAGATTAACATAATAAAAGGGGCCCTTCTATGCTCTTTTTCAGGTTCATATTTGTATTTTGTGTCTCTGGCACATGTTTACATGCTTCAATGTTCAAAAGGGTCTTTATTTTTCCTCATACTGCAGCACCTCTTTTCACCCTCGGTCTGAAGCCAGAGCCCAGTCGGCTAATATTGAACATATTTAAAAAACTGACCGTGTGCAAAATAACATATCCATCACTGAAATAATTGCAGTGCCTTAACACTTTATTATTAGGTGGCCATAGAGACATGCAGGTGTTCTGCTGCGGTGTGTAGGGTTTTACCTCTTCATGCTCAGGAGTTCCATTGGCTGCCGAGCCGCAAGCCGCTCAAATTCATTCCTCATAATTTCTGTCTAATGGGTGAGAAGGGAAAAGAAGAACTATTATTTCTGTTACACTGGCCGAAGCTTTGAAGAACATTTCGGAGGAGTTTGTCACCTCAAAAGTAGCAAAGTCAGGTATGGTGAGGTAGCTCAGGTAGTTCTTTGTCGGTCTGTATCTCCTGGTCTCCTCTTCCACCAACGCTCCAGCCTAGAGAACAAATTACATAGAGAAATGTATGTTTATACAGGAAAAGCACTACACCGACCCCATTTCTTCAGTTTTAACTATCGTTTAAAAATACTCCAATACAGGTGATGTTTTTTTTAACTAGATGTTGCAAGCAGGTACAAGTTACATTTTCTTTCAGTTTTAGAAAATACCACCACTTTTGAACCATTTCCCAATAACCATAATTTTGGGAAGATTGGAATAACAATTCAGAGCCAACATTGGCAATAATGTGAGGAAGGGCCAGGAAAAATTACAATATGAGAGTCCTTTTCCAAGTGGAAGTATTCCGTCGTAATAGCCCTTTCAGCTAAATCCAAAGAACAGTGGATTTACATTTCTTTTTTTAATGCTCTTGACGAATTTAAGCTGCTTTCATTAACGCTGCCAACATGTCTATTCAAGGAGTCAGGTGTGAGCTAAATCATTCATCTCTATATGAGCAACTGTTGGGGGACAATTTAAGTGGGTCATACAACTCAAATAAATGTTTTTTTTTTTTTTTTAAGTAAAATAAATGGCATTGTTGTCCAGCAACCAGGGTTTTTTCAGACTGTGATGCAAGCAACATCTGACCAAAACCAGAAAGGGTTTGATCAGACTCAATGATTTTAGAGGAACAAAATAAAAAGAGCTTCACAGACAGTTTATTAATTCTTACACCTCAGAGGGGCTAGTCTTATTTTGAGTAAAAACACCTGTGCCAGGGTAATTCTTGATACAAATAACAACTGGCAAAATGCATCCCAGGACCCCAAGTTCACTGTGTGTCCCTTGGGTCCTGTGTACAAATATTGTCAGAATTATTTGATAATTTGTAGTACATTGTGTTACTGCACGTGCGTGTATGGTTTTGCACTACATTTGTATTTTAGTCATTGACTTATTGTGGTAGGATATCCAAATGTTACATATAGTGACTTATAAACTGTTAATTAATACACTTTGCGACCACCGAAGACAATCTTAACTTATGGTCTAAGGTTTTTTTAAATAAACATTTAATTATTTGCGAGCGAGAATTGTCTTCAACAGTCTTTACCAATGCTAATAGTAGGCCTACGCTCCTTACTACCGGAAGTTATACTGTAGATTAAAACACTAACGTTACCTATCGTTGGCTTAATAATTAATTCATGCTAAACATAGGTAGGCCTATAGCTTACTGTGGGCACTCTTAGAGCTGTAGATTCTAACAGCAAAGTGTCCCATTGAAACATGAATTGAGCCATACAGTGTGCCTTGTCCACCTGGGTTAGCATGGTTAGCTAACACGCTGCTGTTATTCCTGTTTACTCACCGCTTCTCGCACACCTGCTGCATCGTAGCCTTGGTCAAAATATGGCAAGGCATCGACAAACACTTCACCAGCTACTGAAGCCGTCCCGGCCATTTTTAATCAGTCTATATTGTAAAGTTTGTTTAATTGTTGCCTGTTTTAGCTATAGAAAAAACACTCCGGCCAATTTAAATAAACGTCTTCCGGTCTGGACCTTCAAAATAAAATCCCGACAGGTAGTGGTTGTTTTGTTGCTGACATCTAGTGGACTGGAATGTAACTAACTCTATGTGAACCCATGTTGTTATTTTGCTTTTTTACTGTAGAAGTAATTAAAACACAATCAAAGCATTTCAAAGTTAATTTAATTTTCCATCAACTATATTTTATATATATATCATATTATATCATATCATCAGCACCTTCTACGTGCTTTTCTATTTGAGCTGGATCCAACTCTACAGAGATGGGCATTGTTGTCCAGCAAACACAAGACTCACCAGTCCTAATTTGTTTGATTGGTGGATGGACAGTATTATCATTACACTCAACTGTGTTTTTGTCTTTTTGTCTTTGGGCTGCTCATATAAAAGCAACAGTTCCAAAGGAAATACAACCTATATCTTACATTTACACTGTACACCCCCCCACCCCCCCCCTCTTAATCAAAAAGGCCCACCAAAAACAAAAAGACACATTGAGAAGTTTTGTCAAAACTGTTAGTACACTGTAAAAACGGAAACGCTTACTTTAATTAAATGTATATGTCAACAAATCTCACATAACTGTATTAGGTTAGTTGAAAGAAATAAAGATGAACCTAATATTCTTAATTTAAATCTAATAGTATTGCTTTCAACTAACATAATACAGTTTTGTGAAATCGGTTGACATAATACATTTAATTTAAGTCAACGTTTCAGTTTTTTTCAGTGTAGTTAATTATTCAAGGAAGAGCTACATCAGTGCCATTTACTTATCTTTTAAGCATCCTCTTCTCTCTGCATTCTTGCAGAAGCGCCACCGGCGCTAATACTAAACTGCACACAGACACTTTTTAGTAGATAACTGTCAAAGAAACATTACAAAATATCCTACTATTACCTCATAGGAACATGGGGAAACAACCATTTTCACAAGTGGGTACAGACTCAGCAAAGAACCACAGCCCTAACATTAAGGGCAAGGGCAATAATCTCCATATTCTACAAATTAGCATTCATTAAACTAATCCATGTTGGTTCATGTTTTCCACTGCCAGAATTCTCTTGAACTTGGTTGACCTTTTTACTCTTTTTCTGTTACTAATGCAATCACAATTAACAGAAAAAGTCTGCTCCAACTCTAAAGCTGATATAAACATGTACACAGTTTACTGATTCATTTAAACTAAATTAGTTTTGATTTTAAATTATACATATTGTAATTTCACAGCAGGTGATGTAATCGCTGACAGAACTGGGGGCCAGATGCAAGCCAGCTGTGCCAACTACACACACCACCCCTCCCTCATTCTCCTCTTCCTGTGGGGTTAGGGAAAGATAAAAAAGCAATATGCTGTGATATCCAAACACAATTCAAATTTTGCAGCTGAACAGTGCAAGTATCACAAAAAACTGAATAATTAGAACAAGTTTTGTGTTTTCCAGTTCGTGGTGCTTTGCTCCTGTAATCCTCATACCTACTAACTAGGTTTCTTGCATCTAAATATCACAAGACTTTCATTAATTTTATTTATAACAAATATAGGTTTTGATCATACTTGTTTTTAAAAAATCCTGATCCTATTTAAACATTCCACATAATTACCTTTGTGGATAGCCTATTGTGCCTCTCTACTTAGCGTGGTAAAACTCAACCCATGTTTTAATTCGCGCCCAAAAAACATTATATTCCCATAGGAATATGAAACAACATGCAAATGAACAATGCAACAACCATGTCCAGAGAATGAATGAATCCATATATAAACATACGTTTTCAGTGCTGCTTGTGCACAAGCACATTTGGGTATTTAGAGTGCATTCAGGTCAATTCAGAAAGACAGTATGATTAATGTTGTGTTTTGTTTGAAACTTAACGTTTGCATAATATGTCCCCTAAAACAGTTTCATGAGAGTTTTGGGCCTTGTCTTTTTTTTTATCTAACACTTTTATATTACATTGCACGCCTTTTAAATACTGTGTGTTCTGAAAAGTACTAAACAAATAAAAATGATTACTGTATCAACACCATAGACCAGGGGTATTCAACTAAAATTCAACGAGGTCCAGTTAGAGAAAATCTCCCCATGCAAAGGTCCGGAACATCAAAATGTCTAACTTGCTTTATGAATTAGTGTGATATATATTGAAGTAGCCTGTAGCTTTATCAACGTCTGCATGTAACAACTTTTAAAAATAAAATAGAGAAAATAAATAAAATAGCTTTTGAAAATATGTGCATCTTAAAAGTGCTTAATTTTAGATAAATAAAATAAAGTGTAGCAGCAGCTTGAGTTTCCCTTTTTCTTTGTTAACCGTTTCACATCATGACTTAACAGTTTCAGACGATTATAGAACAATATCAGTCTTTACACATCATAACAATTGAACAGTTTTAAAGTTTCTCTTTCTTTCCCTCTTATATTGCAGTCCCTCACTCACTTTTTTTTTATTCAGTGCGAGAATTGAGCTCGAGCTTGTCCTGCCAGGAGTTTGTAAATCTGGGCTGAAATGGTGTCAGGGCCATTCTCATACACACATGCAGGTGCTCATTGGTTAGCCTGCCCTGGAACGATATTTAGTTTTAATTTTGATCCTGATCATATTGGGCTCTGAGACTGCTTATTTTTTGTGACCTCCGTTCTGACTTGAGAGGGAATGTTTGGTCAAACACGGTCTCTGAACAAATGAGACACACTGGCTCTGTGCTCCCAGTGGGCAGGATGAACATGAATGAGTCCGTCCACTCAGGATTACAAGCTCTGTTCTCACTGTCCACTTTCCTCTTCTTGGAGAGCGCCATGTGTAATTATTTGTCTCTCCCTGTCTGCCTCTAACACGCCTGTTCACTCTCCTCTCCGTCTTCTCTCCCTGTATCGCTAATTATTCTCTTCACTCACTTTCCTCTCCGCTTCTCTCTGCCGCGCTCTCATCTCTTCTTCTGTGTTTCTCTCCCTGTATCGCTCATTCGTCTCTTTCGCCCCCTGTCGGCGGCGGTTAAAATAGAATCGCCCCGTCAAAATTGAAATCCCCTATGTATTGATTATAGGTCGGCGTCTGGGTCCGGATCCGGACCGCGGTCCGCCTGTTGCCGACCCCTGCCATAGACTGTATATGATCAACACCTTTGATCAACACCTATGGAACAGAATGTCTTGTAGGGCTTTAGTTTTAAGATACAATGAATGTGCTATGCAATTGTTACAATTGTAATTGCACGTTCAGAACTACTTTTTGTTAACATTGTTGCACTCAAATGGATACAATCACAAAATCAATAGTTAAGCAATTCCACTACAATGTAATTATTTAAAAATATAGGACTTATATAATCGTTATTGTACTTTTTGTGAGGAAACTGCAAACAGATCCGAAAGATAACAACTTAATAAAAGTCGGATCTTGGTTGACGTCATGACGTAATCGTACGTATTCCTGCTCCGAACATTTACGCAGTACGTGGTTGCAGCGGTTCAAAGAGGAAGGAAGATGGCGGATAACAAAGGCGAGGATGATATGGAATCGTCTGCAAACTCGGACGCCGTGCCTTCAGCGCAAGATAACGAGCAGCCAGAAACGAAAGAGGAAAGTGCAGTAATAGTCTTAGAAGCGAACACAAAAGGCGGCGAAGAAACAGAGTTCCAGGATACCGCTAACGAGGCACCGACACCCACCAGCGACGGCGGGGACGTAAGCAACGGCGGGGCTGCTGTAGAGGGAGGGGAAGCTGTAGAGGGAGGGGAAACGAACGGTAGCACTAGTAACAGCCCGGCGGAGACCAGCACCACCAATGCGGAGCCGACGGCAGCTGAAACCCTGCCCGCCGTGGATGCTCCTGTTGGAGGACCCAGCACTGAAATGTCCCCCCCTGCTACTGCTCCAGCGGGCACGCCGGTATCGACCCCCTTTAATTTTTTGGATACGTGCGCAGTGTGTAAACAAAGTCTTCAGAGCCGAAATTGTGATCCAAAACTTCTGCCTTGTCTGCACTCCTTTTGCCTGAAATGCATTCCGCAACCAGACAGACAGATAAGCGTACAGGTGCCTGGACCACACGGGCAGACGGACACACATATAGGTGAGTTTTTCACCATTTACGCTAAGAACCACGAACGTATACCTGTACACAGCTCTCAAACCAATGGCTGCCTTTCAGAAGTTTGTTTTAGCTTAAAGTTGAAAGGGAATCGTATATGTGAATTTATTTCCGGATGCAATAGATAGGAGATAACTGACACCTATTGGTGATCTGAGACTGTACACCTAGTGTGGAATTCACAGATGCTTACCGGCAGACAGCAATTGAGGGGCAGGTAGAAATGTCACCCGACACTGGGGTAAAGCTCGGTGTCAGAGCCTCATACTATTGTTTTTTTTTAATGATATATATAATGCTATAACTTTCCTAAATAACACATTAATGCCGTTTTATGGCATTCTATTCTGTGCCGTTTTCAAATAAAAAATTGATATAATGCATTTGTATGACATTTATACACTGTGCATTTCTTCAATTACATATATTTCATGCCTTTTTTATGACGACATATACTTTGGCTTTTGTATTTCATTTTATGGCATATTATATGTGACTTTTTATAGCCCTTTTTGCCATACTATGATCTTTTTTAATTGTGTATTTTGCCATGACTTTTTAATGGCATTTCTTATGACATACCATACCATCACTTTTTTATGATGTATCCTAATTACACTTTCAGGATAAATAGTTGAATGTCAAAAAATTGCATTGGCAGGCCTGTCTTAGGTAAGATACACAACTTTGTTGATGTTCTATTATAATGGCCTTGGTCAATAGTAAGGCAATATTTCAATTTGACACATTTCCAATGGCTTCTGCAATGCCAATAAATCTCAAGGTTGAGCAATATATTCCCCACACCTGTCTAGAAATATTGTAATTGTAATTCATATGTTTTTTTTAAGAAATAGGTTTGTGCAGTTAACTAACATTTAATTGTAATTGCAATATAGGCTAGTTCAATATTGAAAATGCAGGAGCAACAATATTTGTTAGAGGCAAAATATGTTTAAATATTTTTCCATATTAGGGATTGTGGTGCTACATACATGTCCCGGCCCACAATCTGTATTCTTCTACAGACCTACAGCAAAAAGTATCTATCCTTCCAGTGTCGTGAGCCATATTGTCAAAATAATCACAATTAGTGATTTCTTTTCCAGAAATTGTGCAGCCACACTTGTCATAGGATTAAGAAACATAATCATGAACTTGAGTGGATCCTATAATCAAAACCTGCAGACTACTAATCAATATTAACAACCAATACCTATGGTGGCCCTGAAGTGCAAGTCAAAACAACATTTCACAAAACACTACAGCATTTCACAAAACACTACAGCATTTCACAAAACACTACAGCATTTCACAAAACACTACAGCGTTTCAAAAATTACGGAAAGGGTATTCATTTAGGGAGAACACTTCTTAGCCGCGTTCACACCGGAGTACTTTTCCCTGTACTTTTCCCTGTACTTTTCCCCTTTAGTTCCGTTAGTACCCCTTATGTTGCGTTCACACCAAAAAGAGTACTTAGTGCCGGGAACTTTTACCCCCATTTTTAGTGCCTGCTGAGAGGTGGTACTTTCCTGGGGGAAAAAGTGGCCCAGTTCTGATTGTCTGGGCGAATTGCAAACCACGCCCCATTGTATTTGTGGCATTAGCGTTATTAGCATTAGCCCCGCGCACCAACGGACAGAGACTAACTTATGGCAACACAAAAAAAAACATGGGAGCGGTGGAGTGATGAGGAGGTGTCGGCGTTCTGGCGATTTACTCGGAAGGCTTCAGTAGAAGCTGCTGGGAGTCCCACATCACTGAGAATTCACATAAATGACCTTAATCACCACCTTACAAGCATTCACTCTTTTTCACAGTTAGTGAGATGATTGGCGCTGCATGGAGTCCGCCAGAGGTGTATGCTGGACCCACTTAGGTTCACTCTAATAGAGTCATTTAAATGACTCTATTAGTCTTGTTCTGTATTTAGATTTCATGACATTCATGTCAGAAAAAGCTGCTTCACAAAGGTCTGTAGAACAGAACCAAATAAAGCAGACATTTTCAGCGCTGCTTGGTGAATGTTCTTATAGTTTTCTGGGTCTACAAGGCTCCAGAAATGTTGTGAGTTTTGCTGGGACTTAAGCTGAACATGATTTTGGAGATCTCCACAGGATTGACACTGAACAGTTGTTCAGCCATCTTTTTCTTCTTCTTCTTCGTCTTGACATTAAATGATAAACCATAATAAATCAATTGTATAGGTCTAGCCTCTATCTGTGTGTGAAATTGTTCCATCCTCAAAAACAAAAAACTAATACTTCTGCAGTCTAGCTGCAGCTTCTAGCAACGGTCTTCTGTTAAAAAAAAAAGGACACTGAAGGTCCTGAATGTGGCATCACACACATGACTTAAGTCTGAACACAGCAGACAACAGGAGTATTTACAATAGCATTATAAAAACAAAAATAGTGCATGTGGGTGCACACTTATCCTCTGTCTTACTGTTACATAAATCCCATGAATGTATGAGATTAAGTTAGCTTCATATCTCAATCAGTGATTAAGTGAATAATAAAGTCAGATCGGGTCACTATCAGCCTGTCACTCATTATTTTCAGGGAGGGGGCGGGGTTTGGAGGAAAGGAGAGGAGACGGTGATCGTGGAAGCTTTCCTCCTGCCTTCACAAACTTTACACAAGTATTTATCAACTGAAAATAGCAAGAGGACATTCTTACTCTGCAATCCAAGACTTGATTAAATCCACCAAAAACCTGACTTGACGATAACGAGTGTTTTTCAAAAAACACAAATCCCTCCCTGTGTGTCTCTGAGCCGCAGTGACAGGGCCTGATTCAGAGCGGGTCATTCTGCTGTTGGTTCTGGACTCGTGTTGGTGGAGAAAGCAGACTGCTCCGTGTGTGGTGCCGCTGTCCCGTCTGTTCCTTGATCTCTGCGTCACCAACCAATTTGATAGTCGTGTGACAGAAACATTTATAAAATAAAAAACGTTATTGCAGTAGCTTGCCGCTCGATTATCGACATGTTGGAGAGCCCTGTCATACAGTATATAAAAGAACATTTATGTTATGGATAAATACATTCTAACCGAATCTTTCTAATATTTATGATATCCGGACTTCCTTTTTACGATCGTTATCGGCCGATATTCACTCTTAATAGTTCGATCGGTGCTCTCTATAAAGGCCGATCAGGAGAGCCGATCAGATAACGCAAAATACATGAGACTGTGCGCGGCAAAACAAGCTCGCCAAAATGGCTTCACCGGTCTGGCAGTTTTTCAAGGTTTCAATAAAATAGCGGTATGCAACGTGTGTGAAGCCGAAATCCTGCAGCTCCGCCTGCTGTGACGGACTGGTGAGCGGAGCAAAACACACACTTCAAGTTAGACCTAACACTTAGCTAGTTTATCTACCCCTGGAACTAGCTAAACTAGTTATAAATATGTTTATTCTTCACGGTCGGGTCACTCATTACTGGATCAGTGAGCTGCATGAGACGGATACTGACCGGCTGTCAGGAGAGAGAGGGAGCGAGGAAAAGAGAGCGCTTCCACTCATTTCTCCCGTGTTATTATCCAAAGTTAATTTCAACTTGAATAATGTACTTAATTTGAATCTAATAATTATGTTGTTTGTGGAAGCGCATCATGTATTGAAAAATTAATCTGAACTTTTCGATCCGTTACGATTATAAACTGAAGCAATATAAAAATGAGCCCCATTAACTGAGTTTTAAACATCACTTTAAATGGAAGATCCCCATAGCCCCCACCCGCCCTATGATCCGATCGGTATCGGCCGATTCTGATTCCGGTGATCGGCCCCAAAAACCCTGATCGGAGCATCCCTAGTTTTAAGTAATAGCTATGGAATATGAAGTGAAAACTTCCGAGTTCTGCTATGTATTTGTCTATTGTGAATGCAGTGCATTGTATCCCAATACCATGTAAGTTGATGAACAAACTTGTCTTGTCAGTACCGTATGTATAATATTGTATAATTGCAAAAATCACACATCTAACTTTGGACAGCCTGATTGTCAGTACAGTAAATGACAGAAGTCCCAAGAGTCAGTCAGCAACAGTTCATCTGATGTAACAACAGTTTCATGTACACCCTAAGCAACCAGGTTGTAAAGATCTATTCTAGTTTGATTTCAGCCAATTAAACCTCAGCCATTCAGTATTTCGTATAACAACTAAACTGATCCTTTAATGGAAGGTGTTTGTGTTTATGCAAATCTTTTACAAGAAGAAATTATTCCACTGCCAAACCAAACTGACAAATTTACTACATCAAGTAAAACAGTGTGCCATATTTTTTACGGTGACAGGCAGCTCATACTATTCTCAACTATTCTCAAGCTTTTAGCTCTGTGAAGAAGGTTTTACCTCAACACAGTAACCATAACTGTATTAGCCTCAGTGCAGGGTTTTGATATCACGTGGTCTAAATGCTGTTTTCCGGAATCACGTTAGTATTGGTTTCAGGAGATATTCAGTTTGACATGGTCTGAATTATAAGTAGAGAACTGCCTTGCTTCTGGGTTCAAACTGGGTTTGCCATTAGCCTTTATTGGATCATTGGGTAATATGACAAAAAACATTGTCACTGTATTGGTAGCACTGATTAACCTGGATTCATAGCAAGGATCACACATTATGCCATCTTGCCCCAGTCACAACGCTTAGTCAGGTTACTGATTAATAGTATTACGCCCCTTGTTTAAACTAATCTGAGCTAAACTGGGATAATGATTTAGAATATTTTACATGTTAACCATTTAAAGTTATTATTTATTTCTGGGGTTGTGTACATGACATGAGGAAATGGAAATCCCAGGTGAGAACATTGGGTTCAGAAACGGCTTAATTGTTTCTTACTTGGACCGACATTTTTATTTACTAATCCATTGTAATTCACGTCTCCTAATGTCTGCTATATATAGGTGATAGCAGCATGTAATATAGCATGATGCTATGGTACTTTTTAATGTAGGTGGTGGAATATCAGGAAGTTTCTGTCAGATGTGTTTAAAGGACCCATGTCATGGCCATTTCTACTGATCATAATTCCATTGTTGAGGTATACTAAAATAGATTTATACTGTGCAATTTTCCAAACTCTCATTGGTTTCTCATACAGCATCTCTGTAAAGTATGTGTATTCACTCTGTCCTAAACGGCTTGTTGGAGCTCCTGCCCCCCCCCTCCCTGTGAGCCCAGTGTGCTCTGATTGGTCGGGATGTTGCGGGGCTGTACTTTGAGGGGTTTTGACTCTGCAGACCGTTTACATGCATAAAAACCTTCATAACACACAAGGGGACGGGTAATCTCCAACACGTCGATCGCGAGCTACCGGTAGCTCGCGGGCAGCTTTTCAGTAGCTCGCCGCTCGATTATCGATTATAGCGTAGTAAGGTTTTTTTATTTTAGAATTTTTTTTCTGTCACACGAATATCAAATTGGTTGGTGACGCAGAGATCAAGGAACAGACGTGACGGCGGCACAGCGACACCACACACGGAGCAGTCTGCTTTCTCCATCAACACCAGTCCAGAACTAACAGCAGAATGACCCGCTCTGAATCAGGCCCTGTCGCTGCGCCTCAGAGACACACAGGGAGGGATTTGTGTTTTTTGAAAAACACTCGTTATCATCATGTCAGGTTTTTGGTGGATTTAATTAAGACTTGGATTGCAGAGTAAGAATGTCCTCTTGCTATTTTCAGTTGATAAATACTTGTGTAAAGTTTGTGAAGGCAGGAGGAAAGCTTCCGCGATCACCGTCTCCTCTCCGTTCCTCCAAACCCGGCCCCCTCCCTGAAAATAATGAGTGACAGGCTGATAGTAACTTAATTATTCACTTAAACACTGATTGAGATATGATGAAGCTAACTTAATCTCATACATTCATGGAATTAATGTAACAGTAAGACAGAGAATAAGTGTGCACCCACATGCACTATTTTAGTTTTTATAATGCTGTTGTAAATACTCCTGTTGTCTGTTTCCCCTTTAAACTGTGGGGTTTTTCCTTGTACGATGTGAGGGTCTAAGGACAGAGGGTGTCGTATTGTCATACTGATATTCTGTACAAACTGTGAAGTCCACTGAGACAAATGTAACATTTGTGATATTGGGCTATATAAATAAACATTGATTGATTGATTGATTGATCCTGTTGTCTGCTGTGTTCAGACTCAAGTCATGTTTGTGATGCCACATTCAGGACCTTCAGTGTCCTTTTTTTTAACAGAAGACCATTGCTAGATTTATTATGGTTTATAATTTAATGTCAAGATGAAGAAGAAGAAGAAAAAGATGGCTGAACTGTTCAGTGTCAATCCTGTGGAGATGGAGATGGAGGTTATAAATCTCCAAAATCATGTTCAGCTTAAGTCCCAGCAAAACTCACAACATTTCTGGAGCCTTGTAGACCCAGAAAACTATAGAACATTCACCAAGCAGCACTGAAAATGTCTGCTTTATTTGGTTCTGTTCTACAGACCTTTGTGAAGCAGCTTTTTCTGACATGAATGTCATGACTAATAGAGTCATTTAAATGACTCTATTAGAGTGAACCTAAGTGGGTCCAGCAGACCCCTCTATGGTGGACTCCATGCAGTGCCAATCATCTCACTAACTGTGAAAAAGAGTGAATGCTTGTAAGGTGGTGATTAAGGACATTTATGTCAATTTTCAGTGATGTACTTACTATGTGGGCCATAATAATATGAGACATTTTCGTTTTCTTGGACCTTGATGTGAAGTTAAGATTTTTGATAAACTTTAGGTATTGCAATTTCACACGTACAAAAGTCTAGCTTAATTCAACTGATGAGGGCTATGTGAATAAATGTAAGCGATGTGATGCAAGTAGCTCTTTGCCACTTTCATTTGTTCAAAGTAGCTCTCAGATGAAGAAACGTCGGAGACCCCTGCTTTATCTGATGCTCCCATCCCCTCATTGCATTATTCATAATGTGAATTTAATATTATAATCGAATTAAATTGGACCGCATTCTTCAAAACCAAATCTCCTAATCTATTTTGTGGCTTCCATCTTGTTGTGGTTAAGTTAAAGTGCACACTTGACACCAAGTAATGTTTAAATGTGATGCCATCTGTCACTTCTACAAGATAAGTCAGTGTTTCCCATACATTGATTTATTTGTGGCGGGCCGCCACAATTAAATATCGTCCGCCACAAATGGATCTCATAAAAAAAAAATATATATATATATTTTTTTTAATTTCTTTTATTTTTATTTTGGTGGTCTAATGGATAGTGAGGTGGGCTGATGATCGGAAGGTTGCGAGTTCAAATCCCGCATGGAACACCACTACTAGTGTGCCCTTGAGTAAGGCACTTACCCCTCAGTTACTCCAGGGAGAATGTCTCTGTAATTGGTCATTGTAAGTCGCTTTGGAATAAGGCGTCTGCTAAATGCCTAAATTGTAAATGATATTTTTGGGAGAATAAACCCCACAGATCCTCAACTCCGGTGTGTCTCACTCATTAACAACGCAACACAGAGTAACAAAAACATTGTCCGCTAGCCATGAACTCGCATGTATTTTCTTATTTGAGGGGGGGGATGCGTGGGCCACCCGAATAGGTTAAGGGGCCTTTGGCTTTTCTTGCCGCGGGGGGTGCGGTGCCCCCACAAATGGAATCAAATTCTGTGGTCACTGTAAGTGATGTCCCCACAGATGTTTTACCCTCCCTGGGTTTCAGGGAGATTTGATGTTATCTTGATTCCAGTGTAAGCTTTGGGGGCAGCTCTTGTACTGAAGTATCCAGCACTTGCACAATATTTAGGTAATTTGGTCAAATCAACATGTTATTAGGGTTAAATATGTTGCTGTAGTCTTGCTCTTATGTTATTTGGCAGAAGACTGTACTTTTGGCCTAATCCTGTTTGAAAAGAAGGTTTTAATTATTTGTGTTAATTGGGGGATACAGAGGTGGAGCTGGGCGGCTCCATTTCATTTTGACAGCTGTGTGTTAAATATTTTGGCCAATTATTATTTGAAAAATGTGGAACTGCCAATTCCTATTATCGCCGATTGTACTGCAATGGAAAATTGAAATCTTATCGCATATCCCTAATAATAAATCATTGAGTATGAAATACTATACATTTTTTCTAAAACTGGACCAAGTTACCAGACTTTCTTTCACTCTCACTCAAACCAATCTCAAAATGAAAAAGTTTCCAGACAAATGAAATACAACTGAAAAAGATTTGCAGTATATCCCACTTTTAAATAACGTGGTTAACTTCCCCAAAAGAAAACAGGGGAATAATGTCTGATATAACAACACATAATAAAACTCTTCTTGGTATTACCGGTGCCGCAAAGTCACACAAACCACCCTATTGACAACAATGCAAACCTTTCAAAATATCACTATGATCAGCGGACAACTGTCCAGTTTTTAACTGTTTCGATAATCTATAGAATCAATCCAACAAACTGTTGTGTGGCCATAAAGCCGTAGTTTTTGAAATATCAGAGCCACACATTCAGATACATCACTGAAAAATTACAACTTGCAAATAGCTTGTAAAACACAAAACAACTTCAACACCAATGTTGTATTTTAGGTATAAATAATCAACCTTTTTTTAAGTTAGATTTTTTTTTTTAAATAAGTGTGTGTGTGTGTGTGTGTGTGTGTGTGTGTGTGTGTGTGTGTGTGTGTGTGTGTGTGTGTGTGTGTGTGTGTGTGTGTGTGTGTGTGTGTGTGTGTGTGTGTGTGTGTGTGTGTGTGTGGTGTGTGTGTGTGTGTGTGTGTGTGTGTGTGTGTGTGTGTGTGTGTGTGTGTGTGTGTGTGTGTGGTGTGTGTGTGTGTGTGTGTGTGTGTGTGGTGTGTGTGTGTGTGTGTGTGTGTGTGTGTGTGTGTGTGTGTGTGTGTGTGTGTGTGTGTGTGTGTGTGTGTGTGTGTGTGTGTGTGTGTGTGTGTGTGTGTGTGTGTGTGTGTGTGTGTGTGTGTGTGTGTGTGTGTGTGTGTGTGGGGGCAGCTGGAGCTTACACAAACCAGCTATGTGCTGCTCAATCCGGTCTAGACCGGTTTTCACCTCAGCTAGCGCGTGAGGGGGGAATTTATGGTTTTATGAGGCAGGGGAGGGGTGACATATATTATGCAGACTCAATTTATAACATTTATGGTAAAAAAATTATGCACATTTTTAGACCTCAGGAAATAAGTGGAAAAGTTAATGACCCAAACTAATTATTTGTTAGAGTGCTTTATTGTAGTAGTAATTCAACTAAATCCATTAACGAAGTAAACTTAAGTGATACAGTCTTCCTCGTTAGACCATGTGATTTAATATTCTAATAAAAATGCCAACGATGATGGGAACAAATATTCAGTAAACAAGTGCTAAATCAACTACCCCCACCCCCTGCGAATAATGAGCAATGGGTCTCCCATGGGGCCAAGGATTTTTTAATAACAACAGGATTTTTACCTAAAGGAAATTATGGAAGTACCGGTAAGCAGAAAGTATGCTGAGAAACTTCTTTTTAATTCTGTTTGGTTTGAGGCACGACTATTCTTAGCATAAGGTTAGGGGCCCCCTTAAAAAATTCAGGTAATCGTTTTCACATGGTCTTGATCACAGCCTGTTTGACTTTTTATATTTTTTCAAATGTCAGTCAATGTAAAACATCACAAAGCATTGAATGTGTGCATTTAACGTTTCATCCCCTTTGACTCGTGTCCCCTTTTCTGTCCTCAGTAAATGTTATGCGCTGCACAGTGTGCCAACAGGACTACAAACAGAGTGACATCATTGACAACTACTTTGTCAAAGATACCTCAGACACCACCAGCACGTCTGATGAAAAGGCTGCACAGGTATGTCAAACATCATCAGTGTTTCAGCAATCAATGCTCTGCAGTGTAGGCATTCCTCTGCACTTGGAGGGATGTCTGCATAACTTTGAGATTCGTATATATTATATTTTAATAAAACTATGATAGAGCCAGTCTTATTCGTCCATAATTCAGGGCGGTTGTTAATAGGTGAACACCAATATAATTGAAGGGGCCCTTTTTGGGGTTTTCCATTTCCTGTAGCGTGTTATATAGGTTTTAGTGCATGTAGAGTTCAAAACCAAGTTAACCTACTTGGAATGACTATTTAATTTAAGGAATCATCATCAATTTCAAATGTTTCTGTGTAATGTCAATATTGCAGTGATCATGTCATTGCTTTGTTTTAATATAGAGGACAGAAAATGACACAAGTATAAATAAATGTATATAGGAATAAATACACGAATATATGAACAAATACGAAAGAAAATTAAATACAGCAATAAATAAATAAATGCAGGGTTTCCCACACATAGACTTTACTTGGGCGGGCCGCCCAGGTATATTAACGGCCGCCCAAGTATATTTCGCGACCCATTTATTAATTTTTTTTAAACGTTCAATTTTTTTATCCGTCCGAGACCACGACGCCATCTGCGATCGATTAACTTGTGGACAATGATCCCTCGCTCTACTCCTCCTGTACCCAGGCCCGGACTGGCCATCAGGAGGACCGGGGGGTTTCCCGATGGCCAGGCCTGTTAAGTGGCCTGCTGGCCTGAGGATTTTTTAATTTTTTTTGTATGTATTGTGAACGCAATGCTGCGCAAATGTGGGTCTGCCTCACACAGGGTGACTGGCAGTCTACATCAGTGCTTCTCAAAGTGTGTTCCGCGGACCACTGGTGGTCCGTGAGCGCCCCTAGTGGTCCGTGAGTATATTGGTAACATTTCACTTTTGAAATAAATAAATAAAATAAAGTTTTCGCACTCTCACGAGCTTAAGTTTAACTTTCGATTGCATGATATAGCCCAGCGCAACACCTTCATCACACATGTTGCCACTTGTTTGTACCATTTTCAGGCGATTTGTAATCTGTTCTAGAAAAACGATGTGATTTTGGATATTTGTGGAGTTAGGTGGTCCGCAAGTGTTTTTTTATTGGTTAAGTGGTCCTTGGTATGAAAAGGTTTGAGAAACACTGGTCTACATGATGTGGCCTGCCGACATGGCCACTGTCATACAGATCATAAATCAAAGCCCTCGATTGGTGTCATTCAAGCTCGGGATAACCTCAGCTCAGGTGATAGTTATCTTTGTCTAAGTTCTCAGTGGGTCTCAAACAGTTTGGACCACCATTTATGTAAACACATATTTCCATTTGAGGGGGTAGTGATTAGTAAAATATGCATGAATAAAAAAAAAATAATGTTTTTTTTAATCTATTTATTTATTTTTTATTATTAATAATAACGTGTGCATCAGGGGCGGACTAGCCATCTGTATAATTTGCCCGCAGCGAGGCTCCCCCCGTTGACAATCCACTAGCGCAGTGTTTCTCAAACTTTTTCATACCAAGGACACTTAACCAATAAAAAAACACTCACGGACCACCTGACTCCACAAATATCCAGAAACAATAGGCCTGCTTACCACTCCAACAGTACATAACAGCCTAATAATGACAGCTTAACCTTCTCTATATCGCCTCGTTCACACAATAAACCAACAATACAAATACAACTACAGATTATATAAGCATTTAGTTCAAATGCGTTTTAAAATGCTCACAGGTTTTACACCTCTTATGAAATGTATACTACATTTTTTACGGAGTTTATGTCCGAGCCAACAGACTCACAGATCGTTGGCTACTGAGAGAGATGCAAAATACACCGCATGTAGTACAACACAAACCTCCGCTGTGGATTTTCAAAACAAAATACAGTAAAAGTATGGTCGCAGGCCCAAGTTTAACTCTCTGAGGCCTGCATGGTATGCCTACAAAACAAAAATAAAAAAACGTTTGTGCAGCCCCAACAACAGCCTCTGATCATCAACAGACTTCATGCAATGCTTCATCGGATGCATATATTAGATAATAATCTCTATCTCACTCCTAACACATCTAAATCTACTTTCAGCATGGATAAATATTCATAAAATACATCCATTGTTTGTTCTATATGCTTCTTGAAATCCTAAAAAACACATCGTTTTTCTAGAACAGATTACAAATCGCCTGAAAATGGTACAAACAAGTGGCAACATGTTTGACGAAGGTGTTGCGCTCGGCTATATCATGCAATCGAAAGTGAAACTTAAGCTCGTTCCATATTCCCGCGAGAGTGGTCGACAGTCACCTAGGACCATTTATTTAAATCACCATGACACCAACTCCTGACTCCTTAGTTGTCAAACAAGTAAGACGTAATCACACAGTACAATGTGGAATGTGAAGACACAGCTATAATACTATTGAAGAGGACATGGTATTATCATTTTCCGATCCATAGTTGTATTTCTCGCTTCTTCTGTGACATGTTAACATGCTTTAATGGTCAAAAATGTGCTGCAGCATCTCTTTCACTCTCTCTCTCTCTGAAAGGAGACTCCAGTCTGCTCTGATTGGTTAGCTGGCTGGCTCTGTTGTGATTGATCAACCACTTAAAGATGTCCCTCCACCTTAGCCTATAGAAGTGTGATTGTTAAATAATGATTTCATTATGTTATGGGACTAAATAACGGCGTCTGATGGAGATGTTTCAGGCAGGGAAGTTATTACACATTTTTATGAACGACATCATCTAGCACTATAGTGATTCTGGAAATGGTTCTCAAATATGCTTTGTGGTGTGATCTTCTCAAGGTGTGCACAAGCTGTGAGGACAATGCAGGAACCATAGGCTTTTGCGTGGAGTGCGGGGAATGGCTGTGTAAGACCTGCGTGGAAGCTCACCAGAGGGTTAAAATTACCAAGGACCACAAAATCCACACCAAGGAGGACGCTGACGCTGCTTCCGGTAAGAAGGCCGAACCTGAAGGGGCCGACGTATGTTCGATGGAGCTTAAACTGCCAAAGCCCAAATAATACTTTGCCTAGTAGAAACACAGTGAATATGGTGCTGCAGAGAGGCTGTTGCCATAGTAACAGTGCTGCAGACTCTGGTTGCTTAGATGGTACCTTCAGCTGGGGGGGGGGGCTATACTCCGTGAAGCTCTGACCAGAGTCTTCTAAAGCTTTCTCTCTGTGTTTGAAAACCTAAGCTATCATTTATTTCTGTCTTTTGTTTTTTCATTAAATATCCTCTTTATAGAGTGTTGCAGTGTTGACATATTTTGACTGATTTGAGAAAAGGCAATTGGATTTTGGAATTTTGCAGGATAATGAAATCTTGGGCAAACAAAAGTTCAGGATAACAGTTGAGAAAGAAGGAACCAGAAGTGGTAAAATGCTAACTCCTTTACAGGTTTTTAGCACTCATTCTGGTCTATGTATGTTAGCATCAATGGTGTCTTCTGTGTCTCTATAGAGTCTGTTGGTGCAGGGCAGAGGCCTGTTTTCTGTCCCATCCACAAGCAGGAGCCCCTGAAGCTTTTCTGTGAGACCTGTGACACGTTGACCTGTCGGGACTGCCAGCTGCTGGAGCACAAAGAGCACAGGTAACCTAATATCTTATTCATCCAAACAATGCACTGCTGAGCGACTGCCACTCTGCTTTGGTATGATATGGTATTTTTGGGCTAATAGAGTGGTGCAGGGATGACGTATTTACCCGGAAGTAAGCTGCGCATGGGTTCCCTCGACAAAAAAGCAATGGGATTTCTCCATAGGATTTTGGAAAATAGCTCGAAATAAGGTCTGTGGAAAACTAACCTGTTTGATAAATGCACTTTTTGTTCAGCCGGATAATATCAACATGTCTACCCTACTTTTATAATTTTCTAATCATAAATCTAATCGCCAGAAGCAAAATGCTAACATTATGCTATAAACCAGGGGTCTCCAACCTTTCTTCATCTGAGAGCTACTTTGAACAAATGAAAGTGGCAAAGAGCTACTTTCATCACATCGCTTACATTTATTCACATAGCCCTCATCAGTTGAATTAAGTTATACTTTTGTACACGTGTGAAATTGCAATACCTAAAGCTTATCAAAAATCTTAACTTCACATCAAGGTCCAACAAAATGAAAATTTCTCTCATATTATTATGGCCCACATAATAAGTACATCACTGAACATTCACATAAATGACCTTAATCACCACCTTACAAGCATTCACTCTTTTTCACAGTTAGTGAGATGATTGGCACTGCATGGAGTCCACCATAGAGGGGTCTGCTGGAGTGTACCCACTTAGGTTCACTCTAATAGAGTCATTTAAATCTTCATCAGTCAGTATTGTTCTGTATTTAGATTTCATGACATTCATGTCAGAAAAAGCTGCTTCACAAAGGTATGAAAAACAGAACCAGATAAAGCAGACATTTTCAGCGCTGCTTGGTGAATGTTCTTATAGTTTATTGGGTCTACAAGGCTCCAGAAATGTTGTGAGTTTTGCTGGGACTTAAGCTGAACATGATTTTGGAGATCTCCACAGGATTGACACTGAACAGTTCAGCCATCTTTTTCTTCTTCTTCTTCGTCTTGACATTAAATGATAAACCATAATAAATTAATTGTATAGGTCTAGCCTCCCTATATCTGTGTGTGAAATTGTTCCATCCTCAAAAACAAAAAACTAATACTTCTGCAGTCTAGCTGCAGCTTCTAGCAACGGTCTTCTGTTAAAAAAAAAAAGGACACTCAAGGTCCTGAATGTGGCATCACACACATGACTTAAGTCTGAACACAGCAGACAACAGGAGTATTTACAATAGCATTATAAAAACAAAAATAGTGCATGTGGGTGCACACTTATTCTCTGTCTTACTGTTACATAAATCCAATGAATGTATGAGATTAAGTTAGCTTCATCATATCTCAATCAGTGAATAATAAAGTTTCTATCGGGTCACTATCAGCCTGTCACTCATTATTTTCAGGGAGGGGGCGGGGTTTGGAGGAACGGAGAGGAGACGGTGATCGCGGAAGCTTTCCTCCTGCCTTCACAAACTTTACACAAGTATAGGACATTCTTACTCGGCAATCCAAGACTTAATTAAATCCACCAAAATCCTGACATGATAACGAGTGTTTTTCAAAAAACACAAATCCCTCCCTGTGTGTCTCTGAGCCGCAGCGACAGGGCCTGATTCAGAGCGGGTCATTCTGCTGTTGGTTCTGGACTGGTGTTGGTGGAGAAAGCAGACTGCTCCGTGTGTGGTGCCGCTGTCACGTCTGTTCCTTGATCTCTGCGTCACCGACCAATTTGATATGTGTGACAGAAAAAAATTCTAAAATAAAAAAACGTTATTGTCCAGCCGCGGCCGAAAAATCAAGAAGCAACCTTACTACGCTATAATCGATAATCGAGCGGCGAGCTACTGAAAAGCTGCCCGCGAGCTACCGGTAGCTCGCGATCGACGTGTTGGAGAGCCATGCTATAAACGAACTACAGCCGAGTACAGCAGGGTCGCACGACTTCAACGTCACGCCAACTTAAGATCGATATTCAAAAATACATATTCAAAATTGTACAAGTTGAAGCGTTTGTTTTAACAGTTTGCAATCAGAACAGGGGCAAACAAACTTAGCCTGAGTGTTTACGTGTGCGGCGTAATGACGTACAACGCCCTCGACAACTTCTGTAGTCCTATTCAGCCACTTGTTAACAACCATTGTTTTTCAGACACGTAAACTCTTCAAAAATCACCAGTGGGGTCACTGCTGATGTATTTTAATGTCGTAGAACAAAACGTGATCCGTCTCTTAAATGTGTGTCAACCACAGACCTTATTTCCAGCTATTTTCCAAAATCCTATGGAGAAATCCCATTGACTGAGACGAGGGAACCGTCAGTGGTAAAATGCTAACTCACTTCTGGGTTTTAGGACTCGTCACTGCACCACTCTATTCTGCCAGCAATAAACAATATTTTGTGCATATGAAATTTGTGAATTGGTTGTGAACTAGTTGGCTTGATTTAGTGCATTATTTTCAGTGGTATTTTCTATTAAAGGAACAAGAAGCTTATCTGTTTTAAGATCCAAGCTCAATTCATTCAAATCCAAGCAATTCTAAATCAACTCTCTTATTTTGTACAACCTTTTCTTTTCTATTTATTCTGTTTAAGCATCTCTGCACATTTATTTTCAGATAAAGATTAGGCCAACTTAATACTAATAGTATAATACTAATCGGATTAGTATTATACTATTTGCAGAGTTCGATTCCAGTAATGACTGCGTAGCATTGTTTCAGACTAACGAGATGCAGACATTTCCAAAAACTCCAGAGCATTGATACATAAACATTTCTTGGAAAAAGATAGCTTTAATCCAAAATACACAGTGTTGTTTTATTCCAAACAAAGTGTTATGCTTGAATAAATATTTGTTGCCCCTTAAGCCTCTTAAATAAATGATTTCCACTGTGGTCATTTCTATCAATTAGGTGGTGTAGGAGCAATCCAACAGCTCAATGAACAACATTTAGAGAACTTTTTTTTTTAAGACCGATGACATCCTAAAGCAGACAGTCAGAGCTTCATTCTAAAACTTCATATTAAAATAAATGACAAATGTGTTGCCCTTTTTTGTACTGAAACTACGGTGGCTGACAGGTGCAAACGCTCTATAAAGGCCCAAAATCTATTTTTTTAATTTGCAGTTTCATTTATGCAGTGATATTTGTAAACGCTGTGCAGGTTACTCCAAGTTGGTGAACATTTTTCTTCATCTCCATGTGTTTGAGCATTTGTGTTATATTTGAATGGTTTCTGAAGCTGTAGTGGGTTTCTCCTAATGGAAGTGTTTAAGGCACCGTTTAAGGCACCTGTCAGCCACCGTAGGAAACTATATTTGGACCACATTGTCGAATATTCTGCATACGGTTAGTTTCCCACAAACTATTGTCAAATAATACCAGTAGTTTGAAAATGTTGTGGTTTGAAGCCCCTGCTGCTTTTTTTCATTTTAGTTATCTAAACAGGCACTGATTTATATCTTGCTAAGTCATTGGAATCTCCCACCTGGTAGTGCAGAAATTAGGCGGTTTCACAGCAGAGTACTTTTCCCTTTTAGTTCCGATAGTTCCTGGGATTTTGCGTTCACACCAAAAAGAGAACTTAGTTCATGAGAACTTTTCCCCCCTTTTCAGTCCCTGCTAGAGAGCAGAGCCGCCATTGTATTTGCTGGCATTAGCATTATTAGCATTAGCCCAGCGCACCAACGGAGAGAGACTAACTTATGGCAACACAAAAAAAAACATGGGAGATGAGGTGGTGTCGGCGTTCTGGCGATTTACTCGGAAGGCTTCAGTAGAAGCTGCTGGGACTCCCAGCAGCTTCTACTGAAGCCAGCCCCCAACTCCGGGGACTTCCGGCCGGGGACTTCGGGTGGCAGTATACGCCGTGAAGTGGTTTGCGGCCTGCCAGTAAACACAAAGCAGAAGAAGAAGAAGTGACGTCAGCGGCTTCATTTGCGTAATCTTCCCTCAGGGATTTATTCCGGTGTGAACGCGATCTGCTCTTTAGTTCCATGGGGGAACTAAGTGCTGGGAACTAAGTACGTCAAAGTACTTGGTGTGAAAGTGGCTATTGTACTTTACTTACCACAAAGGAAATAATAAGCTTTTCAGATTATCTTAAATCTATTAGTAATTCAGGTCCTTAGGCGCTTTCACACCGGAGTACTTTTACCCGTACTTTTCCCGTTTAGTTCCGTTAGTGCCTGGAATTTTGCGTTCACACCAAAAAGAGAACTTAGTTCAGAGAACTTTTACCCCCCTTTTTAGTGCCTGCTAGAGAGGTGGTACTAGCCTGGGGAGAAAAAAGTACCAATTTCTGATTGGCTGGGCGAATTGCAAACCACGCCCCGTAAAACTCTGAAAAGTTTTGTGAAGCCGCCATTGTATTTGCTGGCATTAGCATTATTAGCATTAGCATTAGCCCAGCGCACCAACGGAGAGAGACTAACTTATGGCAACACAAAAAAAAACATGGGAGCGGTGGAGTGATGAGGAGGTGTCGGCGTTCTGGCGATTTATTCTGAAGGCTTCAGTAGAAGCTGCTGGGACTCCCAGCAGCTTCTACTGAAGCCAGTCCCCAACTCCGGGGACTTCTGGCCGGGGACTTCGGGTGGCAGTATACGCCGTGAAGTGGTTTGCGGCCTACCAGTAAACCCAAAGTAGAAGAATAAGAAGAAGTGACGTCAGCGGCTTCATTTGCGTAATCTTCCCTCAGGGAACTTACTCCGGTGTGAACGAGATCTGTACTTAGTTCCATGGGGGTACTAAGTGCTGGGCACTAAGTACTGCAAAGTACATGGTGTGAAAGCGGCTATTGAGTTCATGGAAAGGTGTTGGCAACTTGAAGTCGACTAATACTTTCTACCCTCAGGTACCAGTTCCTCGAGGAGGCTTTTCAGAACCAGAAAGGCTTGATCGAGTCCAGCATGGCCAAACTACAGGAAAAGAAGAGTTACGTGCATTACTCGGTCTGCCAGGTGCAAAACAGGTGCGTGTTTTTCATCACCAGTTTCCTATCCAGTGCTGCCCGTTGACATCATTACTGCATGTCAATATCCATTGCGATGGGCTAACACATGCATTTCTTTTTCAAGGTTAAAGGAGGCGGGTGAAACGCAGAAGAAGGTGGAGCACGAGATCAAAATCGCAGTATTTACTCTTATAAACGAGATCAACAAGAAGGGAAAGTCCTTGCTGCAACAGTTGGATGTAAGCTGGTTTTTATTACGTAATATTTGCTTAGAGTTGCATAAGGTATATTAGAAACATTTTAGAAAGAAAAGTAGACCTAATGATTTGTAATTTAAACGGTAGTGTTTGTAAGCTATAAGAATCTTAATAAAACTACACCCCATATAGAAGGAAAAAAAAGTATTAAAAAAGCTTCTTTATGTCTTGAATCTGGCTTACAGGAATCTACCCAGACATATGATGAAATACCACAAAACATTTTACACATTGTGTTCTCTCAAGTTTTTATTTATTATATATGTTGAAAATATCTTGATATTTATATGCCTTCTGTTAAGTAAATATGGCAGATATTTATTTAGATTAGACATAGAGACCTCTATCTCAGGCTTACTTCTCTTTAACAGATTTGATATGACTTGTTTCCCTCTACGATCTTAACTCGGTTTGATCATTGAATCTGGTTTCTTATATGTTGTGTACGTGACTACTTCCCCATTTGCTGCATACTACTATCCACTGCTGTAATAAACCAATATCCCCACAGGGATCATTCCATTTTAGTCTAATAAAATCGAATGATCTTATCCCTCTATATGCATATGCTAACTTCTTTTTAATGGCTTCCAACTAGGGCTGTGCGATTATGGCAAAAATCATAATCACGATTATTTTGGTCAATAATTGATATCACGATTATTAAATACGATTATTCATTGACTTTGAAAACATTCATTTATTGAACTTTTAAATACAAATAATAATTTGAACAGTATCTTTTTAACTGTTGATTTCCCTGAGCGTATAATTCAACTGAAAAACCAATACAAAAATAAATTAAATTATACATTTATATCTACATTTAAATAAATAATATCAAAATAATAAATACCAATAAACAAGATCAACAAATATTTTGGAGCGCACTTCAACAAGCTACTAAACATATATAAATATGATAAATAGTGCACTGTCACAACCTAGCAAAGCAAAATAATCGTTTTTTTTCGATTATGTTGTTTTCGTAATTGTGGCTGGCCAAAATCGTAATTGCGATTAAAATACGATTAATTGCACAGCCCTACTTCCAACATTCATCTATCTTGGGTGTTCAGGCTCTTTCAGTAGCAGATCCCTAACCAAAATGATCTCCCTCTCCTGTCCCTCTGTCTAGAGTGTCACCAAAGAGCGCAATGTGAGGCTCGTGTCTCAGCAAAAGGACACCACGCAGCTGGCCCAACAGATCCACCATGTGCTCAGCTTCTGCCAATGGGCCATCAGCACTGGCAGCAGCACAGCGCTGCTCTACAGCAAGAGGCTGGTATGTTTCTGTTGGGAAAATACTGAATGTAATCTTCCAATATCAGAGTAGCACATGATAACAAAGGCCCTACGTAGCTGTGTACGTAACCGGATGTATGATTACCTAGAAGAGCGTCAGGACACACTGTTTTAGGCATATGATAGTTATGTGACAACGATTAACATGATGATTCAGCCTCCATGGAGATAGACATATGACTTTCATGTTCATTGCTTACGTGGGCCTTAGCTACTCTGAATTTAGCATAGAATACTGCTTTGAACCGGTATTCATGCATCTTGTGACTGAATACACCCTCTCTTGTATATAAGGCATGTGAAGGACACTGTTCTGGGAACTATTTGTCCCACGCAGCTCTGTATATGATGACTACTTCCATTCTTGCAAGGATAAAATATACATGTATCCTGATATTGAAGCTCAAGCCCGTGACGAGTGATATTTTTCTGACAGTTTCTTATGAGCGTAAGACGACATGAGAATAATTATACTAGTTGAGGTGAATTCTAGTTAAATTCGACATTTGAGTTGTATCTGCTTCTGATGTACTTTGTAGCCTAGCCTCATCATTTCAGACTTTCAAAGCAATAAAATATTAGGCACGGTTGTAGCTGGTATACTGCTGTTGTCGTATATGTACTTGATATCTGTTTTCAAAAGCAGTCTTAAGAGCATGCAATTTTGTCTGGAGTATACTATACTATACCATTCAATGGAGGCTACTGCCACATGGATTTGACCCATTACCACAAGACAGTGAGCAAATTGAATGTTGAGATAACTTTAATGTGGAGAACTGCTTCCAGAGAGCATCTTGACAAATTGGCTCCTTGTTGCTACAATACTGCCAAGCTCAGTAACCCAAACCCTTATTCTTTGTGTGTTCTCTGTGTGTGTGTTTGTGTATGTAGATGCTCTACCAGCTTCGCCAGCAATACAAGGCTCGACTGGAGCCAGTGCCACCGGCAAATGGAGTTGTGCGCTTCTTCTGTGACCCCACCTTCTGGGCCAAAAATGTGGTGAATCTTGGTGAGTGATGCATATTATTTTCATTATCACATTTTTATCACACCAAGTACTTTGCCGTAGTTAGTGCCGGCACTTAGTGCCCCGGCACTTATTACCCCAGGGCACTTAGTACAGATCGCGTTCACACCGGAATAAGTTCCCTGAGGGAAGATTACGCAAATGAGTCGCTGACGTCACTTCGTCTTCTTCTGCTTTGGGTTTACTGGCAGGCCGCAAACCACTTCACGGTGTATACTGCCACCCGGAGTCCCCGGCCGGAAGTCCCCGGAGTTGGGGACTGGCTTCAGTAGAAGTAGTTTTGCTATACAAAACATTTCAACAGTTTTACGGGGCGTGGTTTGCAATTCGCCCAGCCAATCAGAACTGGGGCACTCTTTTCCCCCAGGAAAGTACCATCTCTCAGCAGGCACTAAAAATGGGGGTAAAAGTTCCCGGCACTGAGTACTCTTTTTGGTGTGAACGCGACATAAGGGGTACTAACGGAACTAAACGCGAAAAGTACGGGGAAAAGTACTCCGGTGTGAACGCGGCTATTGGAATGTGTCTCATACAATATTTTCTGGTCTTGCATCCTTCTTCTTTTTACCTTATACTCCCTACTACTGTATAAGTCATTAAGTAAAGGAATATTTCACACCGGTCTTGGGCATGTGCACCTTTTTAAAATAATGCTTACTGTTATCCCTCTTCTCCTTATTGTAGGTAATTTGGTAATCGAGAAGCAAGCCCAACCCGTGCAGCCACCCGGTGTGCTGGCAGTGGGACCGCCCATTTCCCCGGGCCACGGTCACCACGGCAAACACCCGCAAACACAGATCAACCTGGCCCAGCTCCGGATGCAGCACTTGCATCAGCAGGCGGCCTACGTGCAGCAGAAGCAGCAGCAGCACCAACTTCATCAACAGCAGCAGCAGCAGCAACAGCAGCAGCAGCAGCAACAGCAGCAGCAGCAGCAGCAGCAACAGCAACAGCAACAACAACAGCAGCAACAACAACAACAACAGCAGCAACAACAACAACAGCAGCAGCAGCAGCAACAGCAGCAGCAGCAGCAGCAACAGCAGCAGCAGCAGCAGCACCAGCAGCAGATCCAGCAACAGATGCGCCTCGCCTCCCAAATGTCCCAGCAGCAAGTCAGACCGGTCGGGTCCCCCATGGGTCAGCAGCAGGTAAAAAAGCATTCACCATTCAGGGTACCACTGTGTATAACCATGAAAAGCTGGGCTCCAATTATCTCTAAGGTTCTCTTTTCTAGGAGGGTAGCCCTTTTGTCTGAAGTACCTGAAGTACTCTATTCTGTAAGGTTCCCCCCCTTTGTTTGGAATTCTCTTTTTTAATAGGGACTTCCCTTTTGTTAGAAGTTATCTGTTTTTATAGGGGCCTCCCTTCTATCTGAAGTTATCTGTTTTTATAGGGGCCTCCCGTCTATCTGAAGTTATCTGTTTTTATAGGGGCCTCCCTTCTATCTGAAGTTATCTGTTTTTATAGGGGCCTCCCTTCTATCTGAAGTTATCTTTTTTATGGGGGCCTCCCTTCTATCTGAAGTTATCTTTTTTATGGGGGCCTCCCTTCTATCTGAAGTTATCTGTTTTATGGGGGCCTCCCTTTTGTCTGAAGTTATTTTTCCATAAGAGTCCCCCTTGTTTTGAAGTTCTCTATTAAGGGTTCCTTTTGTCTGAAGTTCTCTTTTTTGTAAGTGGCCTTCCTTTAGGAGGTTATTTTTGTAAGCCCCTCCCTTTTTATCTGAAGTTCTGTTTTCCATAAGGTCCCCCCTTTTTGTCTGAAGTGTTCTCTATAAAGTTCCCCCTTATCTTTAAAGTTCTCTTTTTCTATATCATGATTTCCTATTTTGTATGAAGTTCTCTTTTTATCAAGGTCCCCCCTTTGTTCTGAAGTTCTCCTCTTTTTACTGAAACATCTATAGGAGATGATGTTGGTGTTTTTTTCCCTGCTTTCTGTTTCGTTTACGATACGCAAAACACCATAACAGTGTTTAGATCATTAAGTACAAATGATTTAACTTCTGCCTAACATATTTCTAAATTATTTTTGCAAGCATGCAGTTTCAGATAAAAAATTATAATGCAGAGAATTTGATCTGCATGGAGAGTGAAAGTCAAGAGTTCATAACCTTTATTTTATCAGATGATTTGTGGTAATGCATTTGTAAGCAGGAACTTAACATTCTTATCTGTGGTGTGGTAAAGCCAAAGTGCTTTTCAAGATATAAGAGACGGCTGCAAAAACACATTGCATACTTGCATTGGTTGTGTTGTCACTAAATTAAACTCACAAGGCATCAAGTGGCTGTTGTGAAAATGATTATTGGAACTTTAGTCTTCTCCTTTAACTTATTGCTGTTTGGAGGAAGCCTTGTACCCACCAACGGGGAGACAGTCGCTACATGACATGGCATCATCACATGATAGTACAGCGGATAAGCTCTCATATTATAACAATTGTGCATTTAATGAGAAAAGCATGACATTTCTAACATAGTTAGTGCATACCATAAGGTTTATTTTCAGATGTGGAGGGAAGTCAGATTTGACCTGTGAGGACCGTGAGAGGTCAAATCCAAGATGGCCGCCAGTCTCTCGGGTCAAATGTTCAAACACGCTTAATTTTGGAACCAAACATTGTAGAAAAACATTTAAGGTGTCATATCCAACTAAATTAGGGATGCCCAATCATTTGGTGATACTTTTGAGATCACCAGAATTCAAGAAAATGAATTTAGGTGAAGATAAAGGGTGTGTGTGTGTGTGTGTGTGTGTGTGTGTGTGTGTGTGTGTGTGTGTGTGTGTGTGTGTGTGTGTGTGTGTGTGTGTGTGTGTGTGTGTGTGTGTGTGTGTGTGTGTGTGTGTGTGTGTGTGTGTGTGTGTGTGTGTGTGTGTGTGTGTGTGTGTGTGTGTCAACCTTAGCAAAACAGGAAATTATGTCAAGCACCTATCTATTTTCAAACGTTTTATTTAGCTAATGTTGCAAAGTCGCTACTGTATTTTTTTTAATGCGAAATATTGGAATATTTTGCATTTTTTTGTTGTTTACTCTCTCATGATTTTAAGTTATTTCAGGTTGAAAATATCCCGTACAACCACAAATTAAAAAGGGCTTCGGTACAGGATTAGTGTAGCATCAGTGTGGACATTTATCATGTCTCTGCTGTTATGTATGGGTTGTAGATCTTAAGAGGATGACTACAAGGGATCCATATTAAGTTTATTGTCAGAGATATTTAAGTTAATTGATTTTCTACATAAAAGGAAGGCTCCTTGCACATTTGCTTGAGCTTGAATTTAGTTCACCTTATAGTATAGTCCCTGTTCATCCCTTTATAACCATTTATTGCCACCACGACAACGAAATGGTGTGCATAATATATATTTTAAAAGTAATAATTCCAATATTATGTCCTGCTCGGATAAAACTTGTTATATCCTTAGAGTCATTTAAAATGAGTTTTGTTCTCCATACCATGGAGTCTAAATGGGTAAACCTTTGTATTTGTAATTGTACAGCCATGCTTGGACTAACAAATCCCCTTTGCCCATGTTCTCTCTGTACTCTCTGTCACACACACACAACATACATAACCCTTTCTTTGCATGACCTCTAAGTGTCCATGTGAGCCACTAAAGAACAGAAAAAAAGCTGCGCTACCTTGGGCGTTGTATAGGTGGACAGGCAGGGAATCGAACCCCAACCCTCTCTAAGTGGAAAGGGACAGCGGTGAACCTTATAGTTGAGTGCAGCCCTTTGTTAACAGCGAGGGTTAAGAGAGCTGTTTGTGCTCTACATGGAACTGTTTTCCATCTCCCTCTTTGGTTTACATTCTTTCATCATTTTGTCCCTCTCTAAACCTTTCTGTTCCCCATTCTTCTTTCTCCAATAAGTGGTGCATCATTATTTTTCTATTAAATATGACATTGGGGAATAAAACGCTGTTTTGTTGATAGTTCCATCCATTTATACATACTTCATCCTCCTGTCACGGAGTTCAAGCACTTAGACTTAGAGAGTTGGGCGGGGAACAAATATTATGCTCGTCACAATCATGTAAGTATGTATTTGAAGACAAAAACAAATGTTTTCTTCAGCATGCAGACTGTGCCAAGTAAAGCCATATTCCTCCAGTCTCTGTATTAATGCTAGCGCTGGGTGACCATAAATCCACTGGAATATACTATACCACACACACACACACACACACACACACACACACACACACACACACACACACACACACACACGGACACGGACACACACACACACTTTGCAAATTTCAACTGATTGACAGCTTATTTTTGGTCAATTTCTACCTTTATCTTCACCTAAATTCATTTTCTTGAATTCTGGTGATCTCAAAAGTATCACCAAATGATTGGGCATCCCTAATTTAGTTGGATATGACACCTTAAATGTTTTTCTACAATGTTTGGTTCCAAAATTGAGCGTGTTTGAACATTTGACCCGAGAGACTGGCGGCCATCTTGGATTTGACCTCTCACGGTCCTCACAGGTCAAATCTGACTTCCCTCCACATCTGAAAATAAACCTTATGGTATGCACTAACTATGTTAGAAATGTCATGCTTTTCTCATAAAATGCACAATTGTTGTGCTTATCCGCTGTACTATGACAATCATTTTAATAATAAAGTTACTTTTTTTGGTCAAAATGTTGTATTACCTCCTATGTTCGAGAAATTATCTCAAGCAAGGAACAGGAAGTAAAGACTTCAATTTTGCACTGAAATGATACATATCAAATGAATCTATTAACTCTTTTTTTATTAAGTCTTTATTTCATAATTTTAGTAAACAAAATAAAATAAAAAAGACTCAATGGCCCTCACAAGGAACAAATTATGGAATCTTAGACTTAATCCTCACTTAATTTGTCCAATCAACTGTAAAATAGATATATTTTATCTAAGAAAAAGCAGTCTAATCTAATCCTTTGAGCTGTGACCAGTGAGTATTTGGTATTTCTAAATCATAAATGCAGAATGTTTTCTGTGGATTGAGGAATCTATAAAGCTGCATTCACATGATATATGATTTGCTCTTTGCTCACTGAGGCTGGTTAGGTGCAGAGCCTTGCAGCGAAAACAGCTAGCTAAGTTGTGTTTCTATGGTTACCTTCCCTGCTAGCTTGCGGCTCAACTAACAGCTGCTATCTGATTGGTTACGCGTCAAAAGTTCAGCGGTAAATAAGGTCATATTTTGAAATTATTTTAACTTTGAGCGCAGCGGTGTGCTTCACCGAGGGCACAACGGCAACCTCAGTGCAGAGCCGTTTTGTTGTGTATCACGTGAATGCAGCTTATTATTCATTATGTTTTGTATCTATAATTGCATGACCCTGATAATGGTTTGCGGTTTGGATAAATTGCCGAGTTTTGTTCATCAAATCATCAGATTTTCACGCAGTTCATGTATATTTATGATTTTCCGACAGCCTCCGAGGCTCATCAGTATGCAGCAGCTACCAAGAGGGCCTGGGGGTATGAACGGGGGGCCAGGTTCCCCCATGTACCCTTCCGCTCACCACATGCGTCTCCAGGGTCCCCCACAGGGCCGAATGCCTACGGCTCAGCCCAGACTCAACGGACAGCAGTATCCCGCCATGATGCAGCCTCAGCTACAGAGACAGGTCGGTGCACACACACTCTGGGTTCTTTGTATGGAAATAGAAAAACGGGTCTAATTCTTGGTAATTTACAGCGTACTTTGACTGTTTGGATTTAGCATTTCAATGTGTGTCTGTTTTGTTTTTTTAAAGCAAAATGTATAGATAATGTGTACAGCAGTAAGAAGGAAATACACAGTGTTTGCGGTGTATAGTTTGTGCACATTTTTCTGAGAATACTAACAGACATTGAGAGGTTGTTTCATTTAGCTTTTATGTGCTTAGTCTGTAGAAATTAAGGGCAGCTAGAAAAGCTACAACAAGCATCTTTCTTTTCTTTTTTTGTGGCTGGGGTTGTGTTTTTTTACTATTTGAGTTTGTGTAGAAAAAGGTCAACATGAAGCCAGTAAATGGTTTGTGCAACTACCAGGTTTATTTTACTGTAAACATGTCCTACTTGTATTTACACATATCATTTTATTGTCACAATTAAGAAATAAATACTAACTTCAGGGACTCTTATCACAGATGTTTGTTTATATTGTGTTTTAAGTAAAAAGCACATTAATTTATCTTGTTCCTGTTATGTGGGTATTTAAACAATTCTTAAATATCTTTATTGGTAAGATTTTTATAAATATTGAAAAGTACAGTATCTGTCAGCTGATACTTTTGAAGTAGATTCAAAAGCTGACTATTTGTGAAATTATTAAATGAATATACTTAAAATGAAGAAAGCACTACTATTTTCAACTTTCTCAGGAATAAGGTTTAGAGCTGCCATTCATACAAATACGATTACTTGTACTTGAAAAGGACCATATGATATTAAAACTCAATTGACATAAGCCAGGTTACTACCAAGTAAAAACCTAAATTGACTCCATAAAATTAAATATGGAGCGCGGCCTTGCAGCTTCATTTGCAGTATTTTTTGTATCCAGACACAAACGAACTGGTGCATTGACGGGGGAAAAAAACAAAAAAAGCCTTAACCATACTGTTTATGTCTTTTTGGGCCACAATGCATCACCTCAGCAGATATCTCAGCCTAGGCCAGAAACCTATGTCGGGTGATGGTGTCCTCCTTTTCAGCAAGTCATTTTCCCCTACAGGAAATTAGTGGCTATAACAATTAACATTATAATACCAGTATATCAAATGACAGTGTGACTGTTAATGGGGTCACTTGTGGTTATAAACCTGCAGAGAATTATCACCAAAATCCGCAGCTCTTCTATGCTTTACACAGCTTTAAAGTGAGTTTCAAATGTTTACCATGAGGCTACAGCCTAACTCTTTTAGTTCACCACCAGCAAATCATTATTGACTGCAAGAGACACCTGTTTAGAGCTAGAAAGGTCTTGAAACTTCCTGTACACCACCTGCTCAGCACCACAGCAGACAGACACAGTTAGCAATCAGCTGGTAAAGATAGTGGAGCATTAGGCAGCTGCAGAGCCAGATATTTCCCTCAGGAGTGGGGAGCCAGTTTGCGGCTGACAATGGGTTCCATTGTGTCAAACCAATATACTGCTGGCCATCCCTCAAAGAACCTGCAACATATAATTTAGCTCCAGGACGTCGTCCCCATAGCATTTTAATAAAGACAAAGACAAAAACTGTTAACCCCAAAAAATAGAAACACATAACATGTCAATGTTGATTAGTTCCTGCTGTGGGAAATGGCTATATCTGCTACCAACTGTTTTTATGGGTCACAAAAACACAGATTCCTCAAATCAAGTCTGAGAGAATGTTGTGTTTATTTTGATTAAAACAAACTGCTGTCTTTGCAAAAATTGAACATCACTCCACACCAGCCAACAAAGGTTTTTAATTGAGGTTTTTTAACAAGCATTTTCATAGAAGGCTGCAAATGTACTGTGTTCTCCTCCAGTCCTGCTTCGCACTGCCTCCTCTGAAAAACCAGCTTCATCTGTATTATTACATTGAAGTCAGAGAATGTGTACAGTGTGAAAATATATATATATTTACTACTTGCATGTAAGACTAGGTAAGTGAGATATCCAGGATACATCCAGCCCCTTCTTCTTTGTGTCCAGATGTCTTTAGAATCTGAGATGAGCCACCAAAGGTTTCGTTTCTTACTACAATCAGGGGTTTGGCATCTTTTTTTCTACTTTGTCGTCTGTGTGTCTTGTGCAGCATGTGTCACCCAAATGCATGATCATGCAACCATGTTGTTTGTAAAGCAACATGTTTTATTTAATAAACGCATTGAATGACATGTGCCATTGTTCTTGTCGTCCCATCTTTTTTCTATTTCTGTCTCTTTCTTTGTTCTATCTTCTTCTAATTGTCCTCCATCCTTCTTTCTCTGTTTTTCTCTGCAGCATTCCAACCCAGGGCATGTAGGCCCTTTCCCAGTGGCATCCCTCCATAACGCAAACCCCACGAGTCCCACCAGTGCCAGTATGGCGGGGGCCCATGCTCACCACGGCCCCGCCAGCCCCATCATAGGGCCCATCGAGCTCATCCCCTCCGTTACCAATCCTGAGAACCTGCCCTGCCTACCCGAGATCCCGCCCATACAGGTGCCAACATTCAGACCATCTATTTGTTGTTTAGGAAGAATCCGTAAAATCTTCTTTTTTATTCATCTGCCACTTCTAAATGTATTTTTTACTAAAATAAGAGTTTAATATTGAAGAACTTGTGTGGGAGAACAACTCCCTTTGGAGGGAACTTTAGGATTTTAGCCTTTGCAGAATATTTACATGCACACAAACCTATATATCACACTGCAGGAAAGGGAAAACACAAAAAAGCACAATAGGACCTCTTTAAAGAAATTATAAAATAAAGTATATGCAATATAGAAAAAAAAGAATCTCTAGAACAAAATAAGCAAATGTTAATTTATAGAAAAGTATAAGATGTGTGGTTCACTGTGAAAATCGAGAAGCACAACTTCTAAGTCTGATGTGTAGACAGGATAAGTGCAGGTCAAAATGAACAGGTGTTATTTTCCTGATTCAAAGTATCTGTTAAACACATACCTCTTTGATGAAAATCCCTTGACCTCTTGACCTTTTTTACTCTGTTTATATTTATCCTGCCATTGTGCTTTTGCAGCTGGAGGATGCAGGGTCGAGCAGCCTTGGACACCTCCTGTCTCGCTGCATTTCAGTCAGCACGCAGCATCTCCTCTGCGCATTGGACATGAACCCCTCGCCTGGCCTGTCCACACACTCTCCTGGATCCTCAGGTAGCCACGCATTTAGGGAGATGGACTCCCATTCACATCTGACAGAGATTTATTTTTATTTTTATTTCTGGCTTTCTAAAGTTGTTCGATTCACATTCATGATAACAGACCTAAGGGATTCATTTCTAAGATTTGTCATATACTGCCAAATATTGAAAGCTGACTTCTTAAGCATATAAGATTTGTAATGGATAATGTACAGAGAGCTGGTCTTTATTACCCAAAAGTTTAAATTTGAATTAAAAAAAACTGCTTGCTGAACATTATCCTATGACATTATTTCACGGCTACTTACTCAATAAATCAATAATTTGGCACAAACTACTGATTAAAATATTATTTTATTATTTAATCTTAAAGAAATACTCTTCATGCTGTTTTTGAGGTCGGAATGGGTCGATGGCACAGGTCTGTTATTCATGGTAGTTGTCTGCTATAACAAAAACTGTACAATGCCATAATTGAAAAGGAAAAAACAAGTATCCAATAAAGCCTATAAAAAGTATTGAATGTTGTTAGAAAAATATCACTCGTCACCGGCTTGAGCTTTAATATCAGGATCCATGTATTTATTATCCTTGCAAGAATGGGTAGTAGTCATCACACACAGAGCATTTGGTACAACTAGTTCCTGAACAGTGTCCTTCACATGCTTATATACAAGAGAGGGAGTTACACAGTCACAAGATGCAGGAATACCGGTTCAAAGCCGTATTCTATGTTTATTTCAGATTAGCTGAGGCCCACGTCAGAAATGATCATGCTTGTCATATGTCTATCTCCATAGAGGCTGAATCATCATGTTAATCACATAGCTATCATATGCCTAAAACAGTCCTGATGCTCTTCCAGGTAATCATACATCCTGTCATGTACACAGCTACAGTTGGGCCTTTGTTATCATGTGCTACTCTGATATTGGAAGAGTACATTCAGTATTTTCCCAACAAATGTAGAAGCCACTTTAATTTTATTTCCACAAAAGGACCCTGTCATTATTACAAGTAATGATTTACCTGTTTCTTTTCCCATTTCTGCCTTCAGGGTTGTCAAATGCACACACACCAGCACGACCTTCTAGCACGTCCAGCACAGGCAGCAGAGGCAGGTAAGCAGATCAAAGACGTATTTTAGTAGCATAACACCCTCCTTAACATGCTTTTTGGAACATGTCCAGCGATAACGTTTCATTGATTCTATACATGAACCAAAGACTTAACCTAACTTTAAATTGAGCTACACTGCTAAGAACACATCTGGTCAGGGTGACATGATCACAGTAAGCAAATATTTAGCAACAACTGATACAAACAACAATTCTAACAGCAGGTGGACAAAAAGTCATGCCACATGACTACATCTGTGTTGCAGTTCAAACCACAAGCTTTAAAGGTCTCCTATTTGGCAAAATTCACTTTTATATGTCTTTTATACATAAATATGTGTCTCTAGTGTGTAAGGAGACTCACAAAGTGTCAGAAAATACAACCCTCTCTCTTTTCCTCCTTACCCACATCTCTAAAAACGGGTGTACATTGTAGCTGATCAAGATTTGCTGCGGTCACGACGACATTACTAAAATGTGGGCTGGCTTTACGCCCACGGCCCTATCAGAAATGTTTATATCAGAAACAATGCATGACGTGTTTTGGAAGTAATATGATCTGTGTTTACATTAACACTCAGAGCTAACCTGTACTGGAGAGAGTATGTTTAAAAAAGCAGGATATAAAAAGGTACTCTACATGTGGTAAACCCGTGAGAGAAAAAGCATTTGAGCTCCATACTGTTTCAGGAATAATCCTTGATGTGGTTTGGAACTTAATATGGCGTTTAATCACGGCAGCATTTAGCTGAGAATCTGGGTAGAAACCTCTTTCTTCCCAGAGGAGAGCTCATGCAAGCTCCAAAGGGGGCGTGGCCACAGCAGCTCGGGTTACATTTAAAGCTACAGACCCAGAATCAGCACTTCTGTAACAGGGCTGAAATAGAGGGGTACGAGGCATGGCTACAATGGGTGATCTGTTTGGTATTTTGAGCAAAACACCTCATAGACATGTTTTTTATATATCTAGGACCTATAATATATGCCTAAAAATAGTATAATAGGAGACCTCTAAAACCAGTGTCCGGGTCAATGACAGAAGGTGGATGTTGAAGTGTGACACCTCTTGGCTCATACACATTTTTTTGCATTTTATTGAATCACTACTTCAATCTTTTCCTAAACTTAAGAAAGACGTTTTAGTTGCCTCATCACCATCTTATTTAATATAAATGTCAGTTTAGTTTGGTCTTGCTTTACATGCTTTTGTTAAACACAAACAGGCCCATTTACACAAGTATTCTGTAGGTTTTGTTTGTGCTCCACATAGGGACTGATGTCACTGTATGCAGTTTGAATTAACAAGTAGGATCATAATAAACAGTTAGTTGGTTTAACATTGTAATGAGTATGAATTGAATTGAACAGCCTACGTTAACTCTTTCTGCACGCTTTGTTTTTGTCTGTTTAAGCTGTAGTTCGGCTGGAAAGACGGGGCCAGGAGGTGGCGCTGCGGTGGAGCAGGTGAGGGTGAAGCAGGAACCTGGAACAGAAGAAAGCAACAGCTGTCCAACTTCTTCTATGAAGACGGAGCGGGGGAAAGATGGGAGGAGTGATTGCATGGTATGAACACTCTTCTTCATCCTTAGCTTCAAACGAAATACTGTTACTGGTATTTTATGATCACAGCCAAAATTACGGTGCTGAGAAAGGCAAACGGAATTACAAAGTGTGAAACACTTTAACAAAGCTTGAGACAAATTTACATTTTATAAAACAAATTTACATTAGCAAAACACTTTTACCAAGGAAAAAACTATTTAACATTAACAATAACAAATTAACAAGATGCGACACGGTTTTGCTCATCTTGTGGACAATCTCTGGAGAGCGTAAAGGGCACGGACCTGACAGACCGTTGGTCTTTCCGCCAAAACAAACTTAAGTTTGAGTCAATCACTTGCACGTCACTTCCGGTATGATGGACATTCCCTTTCCGCTTTGAATCTCTAGTTAGTAAAAGTGTTTCGGCAAATGTTAAAGTGTTTTGTGACTTGTACATTTGTCTCAGTTCTCGTAAAAGTGTTTCGCATCTTGTTAATTTTTTATTGTTAATTTTAAATAGTTTTTTCCTTGGTAAAAGTGTTTTGCTAATGTAATTTTGTTTGATAAAATGTACATTTCTTTCGAGCTTTGTTCATGTTTCACGCTTTGTAATTCTCGTTTGCCCTTCTCAGCCACCGTACAAAATGGAAGTATTTCCAATTCAATACATGCTAAAACATATGCCTTGTTACTGGTAATATTGATTAAATGGGCCAGAACCAATGATTCCTAACAAAATGTATTCTAGTAAATATTGCTTTTGTATGGTATGGAACTTTTTGCCGTGATTTCCTTTTCAGCTACGTCAAAGCTACTATGCACAACTTGGCTGGATCAATTCTGTCAGAACCATTCATCTTTTCCTTTTGACATACTTAGAAATCTGCTTATTATTTAATATGTAAAAAAGAGAATTGGTAAGATATCGAGGAAGATGTAAAGTGTGAATGCAGAATGGAGGAAATGGAAGAGAAAAAAAAGTATACACATGCTAGCACTGATGAAATGATAAAAGTGAGGAAATAATCTTTGCTCTGACATTTTTTTTTTTTGGGGCTCCATATTTGAGTTTGTGAAAATAAGACTTATTAATATACTGCCTTTTTTAAATAAAACATTTTGTGTGTTTTACCCCCAGATGAGCAATCCGGAGAGCAGCACCCATCCTACATTGGGAGTCGTATCTTCCGGCCTAGATGCTCTCAGGGTTTTAGGGGAGCGCATCAAAACGGAACCCCAATCTGAGACGCCTTGTTCTGGAAGTGGCTCTGGGGCCGCCACCTCTTCCACTCCCACAACGACCTCCGCTATCTCGTTACACTCCGGGAACGGCAGCAGAACGGCCGGCGCTTCGCTCACTAATGGCAACTCGGAGAAGGGGGACGACCCCAATGAGGACTGGTGTGCTGTCTGCATCAACGGAGGAGACCTGCTGTGCTGCGACCGCTGCCCCAAAGTGTTCCACATGAAGTGCCACGTTCCCACCATCAAAATCTTCCCAACGTAAGTCATTAGTTTAAGTCATCTTTATTTTAGGTGGTGTAACATTTTGTTGTTCATGAATGGGTTAGAATGCATATTTTTTCTCAATAACGATACATTATATGATAATGACATGTTTCCGATTTTGATTCAATTCAGACGTCTGCAATCGATATGAGATGAAATCATATGCCCATTTATCAATTGGTTATATTGAGGTCAACTCACAAAACTAAAATACAATTAGAACATTTTATTTCTGGGCTCTTTCAGTCATTTAAAAGAAATGCATTCTATCTTTAAAAGATAAAAAAAAGACCTTCACATTTCTCATGTTTTTAGGTTGCGTTTTAATGGAAATGGGGACACGCACTTGCTGTTGTAATTCCAGCATAAGGGCGTACATTTTAAATACAATGACATGTAGTGATGTTTTCACTTTGCATCGATGATATTGGATTATTGAATCAATCCAGATCGATGTATTGGTACACTCCTAAAAATCCGAACATGTTTCAGATATCGACAAAATTGATACCCGATTTGTGTTAACAGGAGTTCTAGCCGGCAGAAAAGTCAGTCTGAACATAACATCCCAGTTCATCACTCCATATTCTTCCAAGTATTGGTTGATCTTCTTAAAACATTTTCTTTAGCAGCTGTTAATTGATATGTCCTCTTTTGTTCCCATGTTTTAGGGGTGATTTTCTCTGCACGTTCTGCCGAAGTCTAACCACCCCTGAGATTGAGTACTGTGACGAAAGCTCGAGGAACCCAGAGGAACAGGGGCTCAGTCCTGAGGACCAAAGGGTCAGTACATCATCACAACTTCAAAGAGCTCTGCATGATTATCACTTGGCAGCTAAAACCCTCTCTTCCTCCGTCTGCAGAAATGTGAACGCCTCCTGCTGCACATCTACTGCCACGAGCTCAGCGTGGGCTTCAGGGAACCTGTTCTCAGCTCGGTAAGTAGCTCCACAATTTAATATTTTAATCATCTTGGAATTAATTATTGTTCACCTTGTGGTGTAGGTGTTAAGAGCCTGTTTTCTCTGCTCTAATGGCGCAGTTCCACTACAGCGCGGAGCTCGCTTTAAGCGTGCCGTGTCGTGCCGTACCCGTTTTTGGTTGCGCTTCCACTAGGCCTAGTTACGGCCCGGCCCGGCCCGGGGCCACTTTTTCACCTCTTTTCTGGCCCGACAAAATTGTGGTTCTATCGTGGCCAACAAACAGGGCTGAGTCGGGCTGAGTATGCTAAACTAGAGAGAGGAGCGCTGGCAAGAGGGCTAGAACTACAACAAGATGGACATATTTGACCGTGATTTAATTGTAATACACGTTTCAAAATGATGCCGAAGTAACAACATACTGATACCGGTTAGTAAAAACCATGAATTAATGCTTTGTCAAGTCTGCAGACAGACGGCAGGCGAAAAACCTTTTAAAATTCGTGTTTTTCTAGATGGAGATTGGCTAAGCTAACGCAGTATATGCTCCGACCGTCCACACTCACAACAACGGCCTATACAGACATAAATAAAGCAGCGACTGTATTCACCATGACACAGGCAGTCTGTGGTGTGTACTTGTTTAACTTTTGTCGAGTTTCTGAACATATATAAGGAGCTGTGAGCTCTGAGTGCTAACAGCTAACGGCTGTGTTGTGTTTTCTGGAGGTCTCTGAAGATGACGTCACGGCTCCGCCTACACTGCGTTACTATAGTAACTACCCCAGTTCCTAAACTGTAATGGAAGCGCAGCATGAAGTGAGTCGGCCCAACGCGGCCAAGCCGTACCGAGCCGTACCGAGCGTGGCCGAGGCCGACCGTGTAGTGGAACTGCGGCATAAAACTGGTTCCAAGAAAATGTCCTAAAGCCACCAGACTGGGCAAACTACAAAAAAAGAGACCAGTTGCTTTTGAACCTAGTACAGAATTACGATGATATTATTATTATTATTACTATTATACAGTATTACATGCATTGATCTTAAAACAACAGCTGTTCTGAAAAAGCACATGTTTACTATTCCCTTAAACCTAAACTTCAATTCCACTGCCTTTTTGATTCAGATTTCTGTTGTTTCTGTCAAACTGCAAGACACATTGTCCTCCGCCTCCCATGTTCAAGTCCAATTTTCATCATCCCCCCCTCCTCTGAAATAGTAAGAGATGTTGTCTGATGTTGTTCAACCAGGTGCCCAACTACTACAAGATTATCAAGAAGCCCATGGACCTGAAGAAGGTGAAGAAGAGGCTGCAGCTGCGGAGCTCCCAGCACTACCAGTCTGTGCAGGAGTTTGTGTCCGACATGCGCCTGGTCTTCACAAACTGCGCAAATTACAACGAGGTGAGCAGCATGAGTCCTGAGCCTGCTTTGGGGAATGGCATCTGCGTGTGTGTGTGGGTGGGTGTGTGTGTGTGTGTGCGCACGTGTGTGTGTGTGTGTGTGTGTTTGTCTGGTGTATTCGGACAAGGGTTAGACTGATATGAGTTGAAGTTTAATTGAGTATCTTAGATTGAATCATTAGATACTAGGCTATCACACTAGGCCTCAAATTGCAAAAACGTTAGAGTGCAGTGAAATTAATAGATGAAAAATAGCAAATGTTAGTAGTATGAATCATATACCACCTCAATATATAAGTCTAACCTAATGTGGAGACACAAGCTGACCTTGGAGGAGGAAGTGGGAAAGGGTGCTATAGTGTGTACAGTTTTGTATAAGTAGTACTAACACTGGCTGATGGAGGATGGGGGGGGTCACTGTGCTGTCGTCACCCTGTCTGAAACGCATTAACACCGTCTGCATCCCAATGATAAATCACAAGTTGGTCATTAATGGATAGCTGTGATCACTTGATTTGTTTCTTATTCTTCTCTGGGGATATGATGGGTGTGGGATGTATTTGTTTGGTTGATTCTTTAGGATGGGTATTGGCCACATTGCTTATGTTCTGATGATGTACCCTCTGTGTGTAATAGAAACACAGTCGTGCTTCCTAGAGGAATAGACGATAAAACATGTGTATTACCACGCATTACACCTTCCAACCACATGAGGGAGCTTCTATTTTATAAAGACAACAACAACAACAACAACGTCTAAACAGTCTGCCCTTAGGGATATCTATGTTTGGATAATATTGATCCTGAATGCTCTTAACTGCAGAACAACCTCACAAAATGTGAAAATATAACTACTATTATGTAGCCAAAATGAACAGTACGAAGGGTTCTCACATTAAAAAAAAGGTAATGCTTAATACACATTTAGTTGTTTTGATTTGTTTCAAGTAATCAATTTGGATCAAGTAAATATTAAGTAAGTCATTTGAACGTCATATCACTACTCGGGGCACATAAAGCACCACAAAAACGTCTTGCTGGAGGCTTTAAAACATTTTTTTAAAATCTTATTACAACAAAGTGAATTTATTTAAGCGAATAATGAGTTTCTCTTTAATAATAGAACCATTCTTCAGATTTTTCTAAAGACATAAGGAACGACTATTGTTTTTTTGTCAGTATGTGGTGCAATTAGACGCTGTTGGTTGGCCATTTAAAATGGAAATCTGTTTTCACAGAATATATACACAAGAAAAATGAAATAATTCTAGGGAGGAGCATTAAAAAAGGTTGAGATGAACAAGTACCAATAAAGTATACATCTAAGAAGCTTTCCCTGTCAAAACAACTTTCCTGAAAACCTATTTAGAGACTGAAAAACTCAATGACTCGAAGCTAATCAGAGGTCATAATGGAGAGCTTTGAAGAACAGCAATACTTAGAGCATCACCTTTTGTGAAGATAATCCAGAGAATACATTCTTTAAGTATAAAACCTTTTTAGTTGTACGTAATCTACATTAACAACTAATAAATCACAGAAATGAATTAAAGTATTTTTTCACACATGCCACCAACATATAGAACTTTGATGTGACTGGTTGATTCATTTAAAGACAGAACTGAATTTGGCAAAACAGGATATGTCTCCTAAAAATATTGATTCTGATCAGTAGATGTATTTATAACTAGAGATTAAGTAAAACTGATAACATGTTCTCTGTTTCCTGTAGCCTATGTGACTAAATGAACGTAGCAGTGCAGAGTTTACTTCCTGTAATAACTTGGTGATGAACGTTGCATAGGCGCGAGTAGGCCGTGAACAGATTTCTGATCTGATATTTTTCTAACCTGCTTTGCTGTGAAATCTTTTTCCCCCCCTTGCTGCTTCACTGTGTGTGTTGTAATGTTATTGCCCCTTTTTAGATGTCTCGAATAATCCAGGTTTATGATGAGGAGAATCAGATTAATACGCAGGTAAGCAGGTTTCCAAAACAGAACAGATGTCCTGTCTCCTCCCACTGATGCTCCAAGAAATGTTTTAAGCCCTTCATCTGAAGGCTGAAATTTCATTATATTTATTTTCATGTATCATAGTGAGAGGTGGTAAGGACATTGCTGGAGTTGAAAAAGTAAAAAAACATATCTCCATGTTATTTGGTTGATGGGGTTTGGTCCGACCATTTATTTTCTAGTTTTAACGGCCCACAGTGTTAAGGTGTATCGTGTATATAATTCATTCTGCTATGCATTACATTACATTACATTGCATTTAGCTGACGCTTTTATCCAAAGCGACTTACAATAAGTGCATTCGACCAAGAAGATACAAACTAGAAGAAAACAGAATCATATAAGTACATCAGGTTTCATAGAGCCAAAACATTTCAAGTGCTACTCAACTGGCTTTAGATAAGCCAGTGCTTTATTAGTATATAAGTGCTTTGTTAGTAATTTTATAGCTCGAAGTGGAGTCGAAAGAGATGTGTTTTCAGTCTGCGCCGGAAGATGTATATGCTTTCTGCTGTCCTGATGTCAATGGGGAGCTCATTCCACCATTTTGGAGCCAGGATAGCAAACCGACGTGTTTTTGCTGATGGGAACTTGGGTCCCCCTCGCAGTGCGGGTGCAGCGAGCCGTTTGGCCGATGCAGAGCGGAGTGCACATGCTGGGGTGTATGCGTTAACCATGTCCTGGATGTAGGAAGGGCCAGATCCATTCGCAGTATGGTACACTAGTACCAGTGTCTTGAAGTGGATTCTAGCTGTTACTGGAAGCCAGTGAAGGGAGCGGAGGAGCAGCGTGGTGTGGGAGAATTTAGGAAGGTTGAAGACCAGACGAGCCGCTGCATTCTGGATGAGCTGCAGAGGTCGGATGGCACATGCAGGTAGACCAGGAGGGAGTTGCAGTAGTCTAGGCGTGAGATGACGAGAGCCTGGACCAGAAGTTGCGTCGCTTTCTGGGTCAGGAGGGGACGTATCCTCCTGATGTTGTAAAGAGTGTATCTGCAGCAGCGGGTTGTGGCAGCGATGTTTGCTGTGAAGGACAGGTTGTTATCTAGGGTCACACCCAGATTCCTTGCAGTGTGCCTGTAGTTAATTGACAAGGGTCGGACTCTGACCCTCTCCAAGTTACCCTGTAGGTGCGGACTTTGAGGTATGAGGTGAGGAGGGAAAGTGCAGAGCCTGAAACTCCAAATTCTTGGAGAGTGCGAAGGAGGATCTGATGGTTCACCGTGTCGAATGTAGCAGACAGGTCCAAAAGGATGATGACAGAGGAGAGGGAGGCTGCTTTAGCAGTGTGCAGTTCCTCAGAGACAGCGAGGAGAGCAGTTTCTGTGGAGTGACCTGCCTTGAAACCAGACTGGTGCGGATCCAGAAGGTTGTTCTGATGGAGATAACAGGAGAGTTGTTTAAAGACAGCGCATTCAAGTGTTTTATACAGGAACGGGAGGAGAGAGACAGGCCTGTGCAACACATATTGAAAGGAAAATATGTTATTTGCTTGGTGAACAATAGTTATTTAACCTTTGGTATTTTCTATTTCATTTAGATTTCACATATATCTTTAGATTGAAAATATGGTTGTAAGATTAGAATGAATGGCTAAATAAGAATGTATTGCATTGTATATGTACAACCTGAATATATACACAATACACTAAGAGAGTGACCTAACGCCTGACTGAAAAGCAGTGTTGTGCTCTCTTTAAGTTGAAAGAGTAGTTTGACCTGACTGTATCACTGATGGCTGTGGTATAGTGTGACGTGGTTTTTGATTATACTTCACTGCTGCAAGGGGACTTTTTAAACCACTGGAGGTCAGCAAATGCAAGATTTTTCTTGGGTGTTAAATTACTCTCAAATGTGAAAGCAAAGCATACATGTAATGCATATAGAGAAGTGAAAAGTGAAATGTTAATAAAGAACGTGTGAGTGAAAGCCAGTGCATGTGAGAAGCCCAAAATGAATTATGGCTTGCATGGCCCATCATGGTATTTGATTAATTGATGTGAATATGCACATAAAGGTAGTCTAGAATTACATTTGAGGTTCTCTTAGATCAAGAATAAGCTGACTGGTCTTTCTGGTCATTTGTGTGAACTGCTCACTTCCTGTTGCTGAGTCAAGTTTTATTTTCAGGAACTGGGCTTTGAAGTTCGGTATTTTCAGTTAATTTAGCTGACAAGACATACATAATCAGGGCTCTCGAGTTCTAGTTACCCTTGGGCTACAGATCAAATATAACTCTGTGCATGCAAATATATTTATTCATTATATCTTTTTGTGTTCATGGTATTGCACATTTGTTAATGTTCACAATATTCTAACGGGTATTAATCACCTAGTTTTCTTTGCCCCTCTGCTTCCCTCAATTACCCTAAAATTGTATGCAAGTATTTGAAAACAGCCTTGCTGAAAATTGGCACCCTTTTTTTCACATTTTGGGAATGCTTCATGGAGCAACAGTGGGATGAGGCGGCAGGATATCTCTGCTCTGTACAGCAACGTTGAGCTGGGGCAAACCAACCATCAGAAGTCTTAACCACATCTAATTTGTCTCCTCATTCTGCTCTTCCTCTTCCCTCCATTTTTCCTTTTCTATTGTCTGTCACTACCCTTCTGCCTCTATCACCCTCATCTTCTCCCTCCTCTTCTTCTTCTTCCTCCGACAGGCCGGATCTGAGATGGCAATATCCGGCAAGGCAGTGAGCCTGTACTTTGAGGAGAAGTTGCAGGAGTCGTTCCCCGGGCAGAGCTTCCCTGAAACACCACAAACAGAGGGTCCAGCAACCGAGGAGAAGGAGGACACAGAGGACTCTGACGAGGACTTCGTACAGCCCAGACGCAAACGGTTAAAAACAGACGAGAAAGTGTTCCACATCAAGTGAGAAACGACCTCAAAATACACCAGAGAAGTAAAACAAACTGTCTTCTTCACGTCTCCGACTCCTCGTCTGTTTGAGGCAGCCGTCAATAAAGGAGGAGATCCGCTGTACAAACTGCTTGGTTTATCTCATCCTTGCCTTTGAAAGAATAAACTGTCATTAAAAACCTGCCTTTATCACAACTCTGGAGGACAGAATCACAGAAGAGCTGCATTACCTACTTACATCATGGACACTCAAGAACTCGCTTGTACAGACTTTACCGTAGGACTTGTTTTGCAGTAGATCAATTAAATGAATGCTCCTTTTTTTTAACCACCCATCTCATGTGTAGATTTGTTGTGAAAAGTGCTTTATAAAACATTTGAATCCCCTGTCCTCCGTTCTTAATGTATTATATCTATACTTTGACATGAAACCTACCAAGTGTTTGTATAACTTTGTGGAAGTGAAATGTAAATAAGAGAATCGAGCCCGCTGAAGGTATTCCTACAGTATAGATGTTTGGGTGCATCATCAATAAAACCTGTTCTTGAAATATATCAGAGAAAATGTGTGTTGTGGAGTAGGTTTGAGGTTACTATCCTAATAAGAAAAATATTGACAAAATACATTCCATGGTTTTATCTAGCCATTTTTTATTTAATTTGTCCAGCTTTTAAAATGTCTGCCCCCATGGAAACACAATACAGTAAGAGAGCGGCCTAACACCAGGCTGAATAGTCTTCAAGTTGAAAGAGTAGTTTGACCTGACTGTATCACTGTGTGGTGTGGTCTAGTGTAAAGCACTTATTGATTATACTTCTATAGGCAAGGTGAAAAGTAGTACCGCTGGAGGTCATTTTGATTTAATTTTCTCATGATTTTAAAATGTATGCCTCCATGGAAACACAAATGTAGTTGGATAACATTCACACTCCAAATCTTTAAGGAACATTTTAATAGCGATATGTGGAAAAGGCTGCTTTATTTGAATATCCTATTTCGCACATTCATTTTAACATTTAAAATGACCTAAAACATATTTAAACTGCTGATTTAAAGACTAGAAACCTATTAAAAAGGGAATTCAAATGTCTAAAACCATTTTTTGCCAGTGGTGAAAAAATGAAATCCTGTTTTTCATTATAATAATCGTAAAGCGATGTTTTCATCTTTTCTTACTGGCTGAAATGGGCATAGACAAAGTAGTGCACATGAATTATTATTAATAGCGGGTGAACGTAGATTCCAGTTTCATATCCATTACATTACATGTCATTTGTTAGACGCTTTTATCCAAAGCGACTTACATACATTCAATACTGTGGACAATCCCCACAGGAGCAATTTGGGGTGAAGTGTCTCAGGGACACAACGACATGCTGACTGCAGTGGGACTTGAACTTGCTATCCCCTGATTCGAAGTCCAACACACTATCCACTGAGCCACAGCCTCCCGCCTCCCCCCCTCCCTATCCTGTTGATTGTTCAAGTCTGTGGTGCACAGAAACTAAATGCTGCCTTGATTTAAGGCTCCATAAGAATTCTGCAGTGACGCCATAAAAATATCGCAGCCTCGGCTTCTGCATTGCCATTTTTTTACTTGAGTATTTCAAGTGTATGCTACTTTGTACTTTTATTCCACTACATTTATTTTGTACCTTTAGTTACTTTACAGATATGGATTAATAATGTAAAAATATAATCAACACTTAAATAAGACTTTAGTTATACCTGGAGTAAATTCACAAGCTACCCTGCAGCATACAAAGTCATTAAAGCTAGCTGCACCTTTACCAGCTTTGATAAACACATAAATGCATCAATAGTAATATAAAAAAAACATATATTATTCTGAAATGGACCAATCTACATAATAGGCCTACTTTCACTTGTGGTACTTTAAGTATATTTTGATGTTAATGTGTGTACTTTTACTTGAGTAACATTTGATGCAGGACTTTTACTTGTAACAGAGTATTCCTACACTCTGGTACGTATACTTTTACTCAAGTACAAGATCTGAGTACTTCTCCCACATCTGGTTTCGAGCACTTTGGCCCATTTTACGAGAAGCACGTGACGACAGTGGAAACTTCACTTTTAGCAAATCTGAAAATAAAACTGCACCCGCTGACATCAGCGTGGGGAGGTGCTGAGTCGGTATTCTGGGAGTCAGATTGTCAGCTGACACACTTTGCTACTATGACATTTCGGAAATAGCACCTCTCCTTTTTCATTCAAAGTCTGATTTTGGATTGAATCATCTCTTCCAGGTAGGATGTTTTCGCTTGGAAATGAGATAACTAGGACATGTCATTATGATTAAAAGGCAACCCCTGTTGTATTGTGATAACGACAATTAGCCATCTCATATCTGCATATTACAAAAGAGAAGAACTGCCACTGTTACAGTAGCCTACATTTAAAGAACACTTCATAATCTTTTTAATTCACTGAGTGGGAACATTTGCATACAATCCCGTTTGATTTAACGCAGGAATTACCCATCACTGACCTGAGTCAAACAAGTGATTTGCTTTTCACGGCTGCACACTCAAATGTAAAAGTAGTTAAAGAATGTAAGGAGACCTCTGAGCTAATGTCGGCTGAGAACTAATGACTGAATTACCACGTGCAGCCATATAATCCAATTTAACAAGACTTGTTGATATGTGAGGAGAGTATGTGAAAAATGTATGAGAGCGGTGGTGACCTTACTTTGGCATCTTTAAGGTGTCCCAGCTTTAAAAATGAAGTTACATTAACATGAGAGCAAGCCATTAGCGTGTTCCACAGTCTTCACAAATGTTTTACAGTTGTGAATAATAATAAGTCTCAACCAAGGAATGTAATTTGGCAACATTTATTCATCAAACTGTAAAATAATCCCAAAATAAGTAAATGAATAATCAAGAGATAAATTATTGATTGCAGTCGTTTTGTTCTATCCATTTTATGTATTGATGATCAAGGTGTGCAACAGATTAACTATCAGAATAACCAGAGGCAAATTATTCTGATTCTGATTCTGATTCTGAATTAGTTTAGTTGTCAGTGTTGCACTTAAAATCTTCTTCTATGCTTCTTAAATGCACATTGTGTTGAACAATTATAAGTTATAAGGCTGTCTACCGCACTTTTTTTTTTAACACATGGATACAATTCTTATTAAATGGCCGAGCATTTCCTGGAAGCCTGATCCAATTTAAAACTTTTATTTTGAAGGCCCATTGGTTTGTTTTGGAGCTCACAAGCCACTCGTCACGTGATAATGCAGTGACGTATCAGCCTCACGACCAATCAGCTCGCGGCCTCAGCCCTGAGTTGTTTATTACCTATTCTGGCTTCCGTGTTGTTTGTTCAGTCTCGGAGAGGTTTGTGTTCTTCTAAGGACTTTATCGGTATGCAACCGGCCACACAGGCAAGAAAAACATATTTTTTATTTGCTTTGTTCCTTTCCAGTGTTGTGTTTTGTTGATATTATTTAACGTAAAAGCTACAGCCAAGAATCAGTGTTCTGCTAGTAAGTTAGCCAGCGAAGAGGCTAACAAAAAAAGGTTAATTTATTGTGCCTTTTGTTGTTTTCTTGTGTTGCCCATTGTATTAATGTGACCCAAAACACACTTTTTTTTACTGTTTTAAACCAAATGTAACCAACGCAACGGCACAATGTGGACCTAAACCTATTTAAATGTCTTATTTATCACCCTTTGACCACATAATGAACACATTTACTTCTTTTATGTCGAGGTTTGTGGTACATACGTGTTGCTCTTCATGGAATGCATATGTCTGATTTGAGAGTGTGTGTTACAAAGCTGCAAAAACTCCACATCAGTGCCATATGGTTGGCTACTTGGAGTTTTTTTGTGCCACTTTCCTTTTATTCTTTCTTGGAAGCAGTGTGTTAACATTGTATATAGGCTGCATATGTAGAATCAGGATGTGACTTTAGTTTAATTAAACTGTTTATTCACAAAGCCTTTCCTCTTCAGGTGAATATGATGACAGATGGAGTCCTTTCGAGGGGGTTTTTTGGAGTGAGCACTTCAGGAAACTTCTCTTCCCTCTGCCCCAATGGCTCACAATGGGTCTGGGAAGGTCTCGGGGAATGTGCCCAGGACGGGAGGGACATGGCAAGCATCTACCTCGGCCTCCTGTCCATCCTCTGCTTCATGGTTTCTTCTCTTCCGTAAGTGTCTGGGCCTCTAAGAGGAACTTCTCTTTTATCTGAACATCGTGTATAATTCTCTGTGTTGTTTCTTATTGCAGGCAGTACTACAGTTCGTGTAAAACGGGGAATATGGACAGCGCCCTCTCCATTTGGTTTCTGCTGCTGTGGTTGGGAGGGGACAGCTGTAACCTGGTGGGCTCCTTCTTGGCAGACCAACTTCCACTTCAGGTGACTTGTAGTGAAGCAAACATGATTTTTCGCAATGTATTGCATGACAAGGCCCTTTTTGATGTTACCTAGATAAACGCATCACTAAAAATTGCGATATTGCACTTTTCTTTATTGAGGCCTTCTGTGTTGAGCTCATGGTTCAATTGGTCTTTCTCTCCATCTTCTAGACATATACAGCTGTTTATTACGTTATAGCTGACGTGATGATGCTGGCATTGTACTTATACTACATGACGAAGAACAGAATGCGGCAAAGTAAGTGTGCTTTTTGTTCTAAATATTCTATATATATATCTAAATAAGATGTTTTTTTTTCTTTGTGCCATCTGAGTGTCAGTGCCTTATTTGCATCCTAGTGCCTCATTTGGTATCCTACACCAAGGCCTTTGTTAACATATAGAATGAATAACCCCAGACATGCATTTTATCTCCAGGTGTAACTGTAGCCATAATCTTTATTGATTGAATTACTTCCTAGGTCTATTTCTAAGATTAGTACTATCTAGTGTTTTCGTGAAAAAGCTTATCTTATCAGCTCTGATGAACATCGATCCATCACAAGTCCAGACAGAGGAAGAGGATAATGATTGTACCCCTTCATGATGTCCTCTGTGGCGTTTGTTCCCTCATGGCGACCTTTGGCATCACTGTCTGGAGGAATGTGCTAAGAAGGCTTTCCAAGTATTGATGCTGAGCCCTCATGTTGTCTCTCCCCAGGCAGGATGGTTCTGCATGTGGCGGGGGTAGCCTGCGTCCTGGGCTTCACCTCCAGCCTCGTGCACCTCCCCGGGTCAGGAGCCCAACAGGAAGTTATTCCCTCAGAGTTCAGAAGTCGTGCCCTGCTCTCAACCTCTGACCTCAGTGCTATCAAGGTGAGTCATAATGAGTTGTTTAACAAGTGACCTGAGGGAAGTCAACTGTTATGAGCTGTTGTGACGTTGTTGTGTCTGCCTCTCTGTCGCTGCAGGCGTTCACCCCTAAAGAGATTATTGGATTCTCCATCGGCTCTGTGTCCTCCGTGCTCTACCTCTGCTCCAGACTCCCCCAGATGTACACTAATGTGAGTATGACAAGTACTACTGGCTGAGTACTACTACTCATAGACATTAACTGGGACTACTAATTCTAATACAAATATTTACAGGATGAGCATCCTTATATCATTTGTTTAGCATCACTGTATATTGCAGACATTCAAATAGTAGTTTTCAATTTTATAACTGCATTTATTTTTTAATCTACACAGATATTGGTAAAACAAATAAAATAAGTTCTAAACAATAAATTACTTTATGAACAATACACTTTTAATAAAGTTTTGTAGTCAGGAACAAAATGGGCATTGAGTAAATTATTTAAATGAGATATTTTGCCAAATGGGAAATGTAATAATAATTTACATTCCCAAGCCTTGCAAAAAGTGTATTAATATGTGTTTTAATCTGAACAAGATAAAAAAATTGAAGCAAAATTGAATGTAACCCATCCAAGGGAACATTTGTGGTTGTGCTGTAAAACATTACATTTCCCCCAAAATGTTTTTCTCACTTTCTCCCCCGTCCTCTGATTTATTCTCACAGTACAAGAGGAAATCGACAGAGGGAGTGTCTTACTTCCTGTTTGCACTGGTCATCCTGGGAAACACCACATACGGCCTGAGTGTCCTGCTGAAGAACCCCGATGAGGGCCAGGGAGAGAAAAGCTACATCATCCATCACCTGCCCTGGCTCATCGGCAGCCTCGGCACCCTCTCCTTAGACGTCGTCGTATCCTTTCAAGAAAAAAGGGCCACTTCATCAGAAGAGTTAGGTCACATGACTGTGTCTGTGGAAACACAATGTAGTCTCAAAGGTCCAAACACACAGGGGGAAATTAGCCAAGGCAAAGAAATAAGAAAAGCAAAAAGCTGCACTAGGGCCCTCTGGAGGCCATCTGCCTCTTTGCACCCCACAAGTGGTGGACTCTAAGGTCTTACCTGGGGGAATGAAACTCCAGACTGCAGGAAGAGAGGGAATGAAAATCGAAAGCGTTAGCAAGCATGATATGCATGAATCAGGATCAGATATTTTTTTATCTAATGTATACAGTCAATGGATTATTAGTGGGGTTTTTCGCCAGAGTTGCTTGCGTACGTGGAGAAATAAACCAGACACTGAAACTATTGCTAAAGAATGTGGATATACATATCCTGTTTAAACAGCCCAATTGGTTAACATGGGTCCAATTTTCTTAAATGATTAACTTTCAAATGTAGGAGGAGTCCTAGTGTCCAAGAGTGCTATATTTGCAATTTTTTTTAAATGGAACCCCATAGTAATAATCTAAAAAAATGTCAATGTCTTTGGTAGGTAGGGGCAGCATATTTTTTGCATATTTCTGTCCTAACCTTGGAGACCAAGGCGATATTGATTTTGTATTTTTACACATGTGTATGTCTGTAACCAGCCGAAAAGAGAGCTTTAAAACTAAAAGCCAACCATTGTGAAAGTGCAGGCCAACAGAGTTTCCCATTTAGCAGCTGACACATACAGTGGTGTCCGACATTTTCACAGCCAGTAATGAAATGTCTTCTTTAGGCACTGGTCAGGTGGATTCATATGTAGAGGATTACCATTATGTTAACAATGCTAACAAAGTTGACCAGTTTGGGAAGTATTTAATCACTTTTTCAAATAGTATGTTGTATTTTTCATCATTGTGCGTGTCATTAAACAGAATCTCTTCCAGGATTTCTTTTAATTTCCTTAACGCTGCGGCTCAGATCTCCTTCCAGTTCCTGATTTACCGCAAAGCCAAAGAGGAGGTCGGCAGCAGTCACGGAGAGACCGCGCCTCTGATCGGAAGCTAAACCGACAAACCGAGAGTGGGACATGATCAGACGCTCTCTTCCAGTGAACCCTCAAAATCACATTGCCAACAGAATCAGGATGAAAGAACATTGTAGTCTTGATTTTCTAGTTATATTTATTATGCTCTTTTTTTATGTTTACAATGTGTTTTTGTCTGCCAAAGTACTGTGACAGAGGAAGTTCTTCACTTGTTTGACATGGATGGAAACTCCTCCTGTCAGCCTGAACTTCTTCTCTTTAATTTTTCGGTCACAGCCTCAATTTTAATTTACGTAGATTACGTAGAAACCTAGCCAGGGCGACCGGACCACACAGATTCTTCTCTAAATGTATCTTGTTTCTTTAACCTGCATAACACTTTGACAGTTATGACACTAGCCCTGCATGAAGCCCAGTCTTACACCATTGCAGTGATGGGTTAGAGCGTAAAATAATGTTTTGTAAAGCATGACCAAGTGTAAATTGTACTCTGTCCATTTTTGAATTGATGTTTACACCAAGTGTTGTAATCGCAAAAAAAAGTTGTATTTTTTTTGTTCATTTTAGATATCTTTTAGTTATACATTTCTCTTTCTTTTTATAAATACAGACACTTGACCAGATTAGTTTGCACTGGTGATAAGTCATTTAACACAGATTTTCACCACCATGTTTAATTTACACATTTTCGTTTTATCATTCTCACAGTTTTGCACAACAAAAGTCGGTTTTGTACTTTGAGAAATGTTAATAAAATGTTCAGTGTGCTGTAAAAATAAAAAAAAATAATAACATTGAATTATTTTCTCTGTGTTTTTATTCTGGATAAATATTGGGAGCCATTTGTACGGGCCGAAAGGTGGTCAAAAAACACTTACATGCAAATATAAAAACAAAAATGTGCCAAAACACATGCAAAAGAAGAAACATGTCTACCAACTTGAGAACACGTGTAGCATTTAGAAAGAATCACCAACTTGATGAAACATGGGCAGCGTTTACTAAAAGTGAAACACTGAGAGAAGCTCAAAACACAACAGTAACAGGGACACTAAAAAGTGATGCACACATCTGGGACTGGGAACGGAGGGCTTGGTGAGCGGGGATTATAAAGTTACTGGGGAACTGTCACTGGAATGGACGCTTATTTTAATAATGTGATTACTTCTGATAATAATGCAGATATGCTGTAGGCTAGCTTGCTAACGTAGCTAACCTGGTCATTTTAATTAAAGCCTACTGACAAAATACTTACAACTATGAAACAGACCAACACTGCAACAGTGACGGTTGGCCAACTTTATAATCCCTGAACGTAGACCCACGCTGTGCATCACTTTTTAGTGTCCCCGTTTTCCGTTGTGTTTTGAGCTTCTTGCAGTTTTTTTGTATTTGCAGCGTTTTGCGATTGCAGTGCTTTGTATTTGCATCGCTTTCAGTTAACCATGTGCATGTTTCGTAAGGTTGGTGAAGTTGGTTTGCATGTGTTTTGGCAGATTTGGGGTTATATCATCGTTTGTGAACCTGCAGCGTGGTTCTCCTTAGGAAGTGTTTTGGGCTGTTGCCACTGTTGGTCAGATTCTCCTGATTGTCTTCATAAAAGTGTTACTTTTTTATTAATGGATTTTATTCTAACTGCTTCTCTTGAGAATAACTATTCAGAGTTTTTTCTCTTCCCTTCCCACTTTCTGTTTAGCCCAGCAGAAGCCAAGGCCTGCCCTTGGCCTTGATGTTGACCTTTGACCCTTTGCCTCTGCTGACCTCCACCCTCAGTGACCGAGTTCGAGCGACTCCTGGGAGGCCCTGACAGCCGTGTTGTTTTTCATCATTAGCAGATTCACGCTGGCCTTTCAGATGCACCCTCCTCCCCCAAAACACCCACGCACACACACAAACCTTCCCCTTACTATTAAACATAATGCAATCACACACACTCAGAACAGTAAGGGCCCACCCACCAAGGAAGCAAGGTCAGTACAGAAAACATAATGGGTTCACTGTGTGTGTGTGTGTGTGTGTGTGTGTGTGTGTGTGTGTGTGTGTGTGTGTGTGTGTGTGTATTTTGGGGTGGAGGATTGTGAAACAGTGGCAGAGAGATTGTGAAGGGGGTCGGGGAGTTAGCAGGAAGAGCCAGTGATAGGGAGCATCCATCCATCACAAGGGATGAACAAGAAGCTGTTTATAAACACTCTATACTGGGAATTTTTTAATGAGATGATTTCAGTTCCTAAAAGCAGGGCAGAGGGGGTCTCAGAGGTTGGCAGTTCAAATCCCTAGTGCAACCAACAAGCCTCATCCTGGGAAATGTCATGGGGAATTTTTTGATATTTTCAATTCTGACGTACGTCGGGACATGTAGCCTAAAAACACTATTGTTCCCTGGCCTACCTTTTCATGTATTCCCAATTATTGCCCATAAAATGTCTGTTAATGATTCTCCTTCTCAATGACACTTTTTTTCTTTCTGAAAGTAGAAAAAAGAGGATCTTTGGTCGGGTTCCCACATGTCCAACTAAAACACACATCAAGAGCAGCTGTCTGTTTACTCTGTGTGTGTGTTTGTGTGTGTATGAGGTTTGAGTCTGGGCTGGACTACAAAAAAGTGAGAGAGTTGGACAAAAGGGAGAGGACATCGGGACGCTCGGGCGCATTAGGAAGGCTTCCATCATCAACGGTGAGTCCACAATCCAGATAACTGCAACATAAACAGAATTGTTCATAAAATATTACAATGAAGTTTTATATTTGTATTTCTTTCTGCTGTACTGATTTCAACGCTCAATTGCCATTTCAATGCAATTCCAGCCAGGCTAGATCTGCAATGCATTTCATTACAGAACGTACTCATGATGGCCAGTTGAGCATGCTGCATTTAGGTCTGTTGCAACTACCATATAACAATTTACATTCCTACTCATGATAGCCAAATAACCCCCCCCCCCCCCACCACACTCGCTAACATACGCTCAGACATAAGCTATCGACTTTACTCATGAACACAGAGGCCACTTGTAAAGTGAGCGTTGGTTTCCTGCGAGGATCAGTAAACAATCCGGGCCGTTATCGAGCTGCAGCTGCCAGCCAGAAGCTCTCTGATAAAGAGGAGCTGGTTTCATGACAAAAAAAAACAGGATTTATGATGTGTTGAATTTATCTTCAGAGTGTTTCAGGAGTAATGAGTTTAAGTTACTTAAGTTTCCAGAGTTCCAGAGTTTTAAACGTTGCTGTATTTCTCTGGTGTTCACCTCATCATTGTGTCTTTGTGTTGAGGAATTTTTCCACAGAAACAAAACTAATTCAACTAAAGCGCCAGAGTCTAATTGAACTAACCGTGCCCTAAAAATATTTCCCTCCACTTCCTGCTCTTTTTTTTATGACACTCCTCATGTCATCTTCAGGCTTGTGTCCAACAGTGTGACACCTCAATAAGATCCATGGTGACATTTGCACACTCTCAGATATTGTCCCCATCGTTTAGTGTCACTCCCAGCTCTGCTGCCTGCACTCTACTCCCAGAGGTCGGAGTCAGCTTGTTGTGCCTCCTCCTCACATTTTGGGACACAACATCGCTATTAACTGGGAATTAAGAGCCTCTACTTTAGCAATTCATTTTTTGCATTCATCAAGATTTTTTTAGCATTATCAAGAAACCTAGAATGGATCTGGGGCCGCCCTCCACCAAGGCCAAGTGCTCTATCTCACAATATGTTAGTAAAGTTATTGTATCTGTCCATAATTGACCACTCCAAACTGTAATGGGTTACTCCCTGGTCCATGCTACACCCTTCAAACAAGTATGAGGAAATATATGCCATTACCATTCCTTTTATCCAAATCAAAGAACTAACCAAATTGAGAAATCTCCTCCATGCCAGGTAATTTAAATAAAATCAAACAACCTGGTTCTAACTAGAATAAAGTGAGTTGATGTTAAGTCATTGGTAGTTATACATTTTTAAGGCCATGCTAAAACTGCTAACGACGCTGGTGATTCCCTGATGTTTCCTAAAAATATCTCAACAACCTTTTGATGACTTGGCATTAGATTTGGTCAACATATTATAACGTTCAAGGTTCCCAGAGGATGAATCCTACAGACCCCCTGACTTTTCTTCTGGCGCACAAATGCATGCCCCCCTTTTTGTGATAACTTTGATGGTCAACTGACTTTTCCTCTGGTGCCATCACAAGGACTGATTTTTAATTTACGCAATACTTTTTACATTTATGAATGGTAATACCTGCAGAAATGATTACATTCCCATGATCTAAAGCTGTACTTAGTGTTGAGTGCTAATTAGCAGAGGTGGGAGTAAGTCCTACATGTGCAAGTCATGAGCAAGTCTCAAGTCTTGACCTACAAGTATCAAGCAAGTCCCAAGTCACTGTGGTGAGAGTCAAGCAAGTCAAGTCAAGTCATTGCTCAGGTCAAGTCAAGTCAAGTCAAGTCATACGAAATTCTGATGAATAAGCCCGGTTTCCGCATTTAAATCAGTTAAAAGACAGTGGTTATGAAAATGGATTCAACCCACACTATGATCTTCATTACATACACAGTTAATCATTTGAAATCGAATTTCAAGAAAAGTCAAGTCAAGTCTTTTATCAATGTTAGTCAAGCAAGTCTCAAGTAAAAAAATATGCGACTCGAGTCTGACTCGAGTCCCCACCTCTGCTAATTAGAAAATGTTAGCATGCTAATGTGCTAACTAAGATGGTGGAAACAAAACTATGTCAACTTTGTCAATGTTGGACAGTTTGGCTATCATGTTGATGTTCAGCTCAAGGCTGTGATGTATTCAGTATAGGCCTATACATAGACCGAAATATCAGTAGTCTAGTAGAATTACAACACTGAGAAACAGAATAATAACATTACATCAATAAAGCATTGAATTGCTCCTGTATTGCTGTTTACCTTTATCTTAATGTAATCCAAAGTATTATATCAATGTAGTTATTAGACATTTGATTCGTCACCATGTGTGTTAAATTCATCCAATCAGTTTGTTTTCGACACATTTAAGCTTGTTTACTTCTTTCTCCCTCTCTTAGTTTGTGTTTTTCGCTGACAGAACAATTTATTGATCGTCGAGCACTGTAGTCACATGTGTACCAGTTTACCCTTTGGACACAATCTTTAGAGGAATGACACGGTGCAGTTAGCAACCGAATTCCACTGAGATCGATCGTGATTACTACATTGAAGGCTGCAGTTTCAGTGGGCCTTCTCACCCCCCCTGCTCTCCCCCGGTAGTTCCTGGCTCCCATAATGAGTCAGTGAAAGCCATGATATGAGGGTGGGAGTACGCCGTTAATCCTCAGTAAGCATGCTGCATGTCAAACAGGCCTGCTCACAGATTTACAGGACAGCGTAGAGGTCTCTCCCCTGTCTCTCCTCTGGTGGTTCAGGCCTCGACTCCTCTCGCTCTGCCCCAGCCTGGTTAACTGTCTGAGGGGGAGGCGGAGGTCCCCGAGCCCCTTAAATCTAAATGCTGTCCAATATTAACTGCAGCACAAACAGAACAGCGGTAAACAAAAGAGCAGAGTAAACACACTCCCGTAGGCTTAGAGGACACACACACACACACACACGCACACACACACGCACACGCACACGCACATGCACACACACACACACACACACACACACACACACACACACACACACACACACACACACACACACACACACACACACACACACACACACAAGCGCATTAATGGGATAGTTCAGAATATCTTAAAGTGGTGTTGTATTAGATAGCTACGAATCCCAACCAAGGTATTAAAGGGGTCCTATTCAACTTTTTGTGTTTTACTTTCCTGTACTGTTTTTTATAGTTTTTTTGCGTGTAAATTGTCTGCAAATGCAGATTTACTTCCATAATTTATTGACATCACTATGTACCACTCGTGCTGCTATTGGCTAGTGCTTCAACACTGTACGTACGTGATAGGCTAAGTGGCGGGACATCTCCAACACATCTCAAAGCGGTTGACCAATCACAACCAAACCTCTCAATTAACCAATCAGAGCAGACTGGGCTCTGGTTTCAGACAGAGGGTGAAAAAAGTGGCTGCAGCACAGGCAGTATGAGAAAAATAAAGACCTTTTGAACATTAAAGGATGTTAACGTGTCACAGTAGAGCACAAAATGCAAATATGAAGCTGAAAATGAGCAAATGAAGGCCCCTTTGAGTACAGTAGAACAGGAGTACCAGCACATTAGGCAATTTACTGTTCTTTAGGAAACCCTGAAAAAGCTATACAAATCTATTATAATTCAAGTTAACACTATTACAAATATTTTCAATGTTTTACCTTGCTGACTGGGCGCAAGGGAACTTAAGCCTTACGTGTGTCCCTTAAAATCCAACAGAATTCATTGAAAAAACAGTAATTTTAGCAGACCTTATTATTGCAGCAACATCCGTGTTCTGCGAGGTGAAGTTTCAGGTTTTATCAAAGGAGTCTGATGGCTTTCAAGAGAGAATTAAGGCAAAGTAAAGTGGTGAAAATATTGAAAGTTTAAAGCACATTTAAACTGATATTGATATTTCAGGTGACTGACTATGTTCTGCTTCTGCTCCTCTTTACAGCAGTAGGCTACATTGCTTTGCTCAGCGCTGGTGCTCCTGTCTGTTTTTCCAAACTGGGGACATGCCAACTCTCATCCTACCTCATAAAATACATAAAATTATCCAAACCATCCCTTTAAGACTTGTAACTTTTAACAATTGTTTTAATGACGTAAATGATTGTATGTGTCATCAGATTAAATTGACAAAATGTTCGCCTAGGCCAGCTGTTGCACTCGGATACATCCAATTAGGCCAAACCTTCACACACTCTGCCCATGAGGGATATGTCTCCCTCCATGCATCCCTGCAGCCTCTTAAGTCTCTGCCAGGTTTAGCTGTTTGGACCAAAGTCCCATCCCTGTCATCCTGGGTGTCCCTTTCGTCTACCCCCCTGGGGGGTGGTTAAGACCTCCTCCAGCACATCATCCACCACAGACCTCAGCCTCAGCTGCACTCGTCCTCTCTGCTTTTTTTAAAAATAGGCTGGGATATCAGTGTGGACAGCTTAGAGACCTGGACACATCTTGGGGATTGAGGAATGTCTCCCAGATCCTTCATATCTGTGTGAATCCTCCGAGTAATTGTCTGTGTGTTTGTGTCCATGCATGTGTGTGTGTGTGTGTGTGTGTGTGTGTGTGTGTGTGTGTGTGTGTGTGTGTGTGTGTGTGTGTGTGTGTGTGTGTGTGTGTGTGTGTGGAGATAGGTCCCGTATTACTAGCTGGAGAGAGGCTCTTCTGTCCAGATGAGAGAGTGGACCGAGTTGGACATGAGTTTTTCGGCAGGGGGCTTTCTCTCCGCCTCGGATGGTTACTGCTCCACAGAGCCGCTCCAGTACTATGGTGAGTCCTCAGTGACACTTCTCTCCCTCCCTCCTGACTTTATTTTATTTTGCCTTTTACTTTCTCTTCTCCCTCTACTTCCGCTTTTTTCTGCTCTTTTAAAACAAAGTATGTGAAATAGAAACTCTTACAATAATAGATAAGACACTGAAGATGGACTAATTAGGATCTCTTAGTTAGACTGTTGCCGTTTTGACACTGGAAACAGGAAACACTGGATATGCTGTCATGCTTCTAAATGTGTTGTGTGCTATCAATGTAACATTTTTAATGCAAAATACTTCCAGTGTTATCGGTCCATGTTCAATTAATTCAAATGAAGTTGTGTCATTGGTAGTTATAGACTTATCTGAACTATCAACAGATGCATCCTCTGTTTTATACTGTTGTCATTTGCTCTCTAACTGCAGATAGTTTTGGTTGAAATGCTCTTTGTTCTTTAGGTATTTACTGTGAATAAATAAATGTTCTATAACCACATTTATAAAAAAAAAAACACATCTCATCTGTAATGTGCCCATGCCCCTTTGCCCCTGGTTAATCCACAGACCATAGTTTGTATAGGGACTATTTCTTCAGTGGAATGTAGTACCCATTAAAATGAAATAAAACAACAAACTGTGAGTGAATTGACCCTAGTCTAAACTGTGAAAATAAAAATATTATGTTACTGAACAACATTAATGGCCATTTACAATTTATGGTATCAGAGGTGAGATGTCATTTGTTCTACATCTCAGAAAAATTTACTTTTTTTAAACATGTGTTGGCTGATTTTGACTTATAGTCCCACGATGTAAAATTTGAACGATGAAAATATCCATTCTTCTTCTCAGAAATGAAAGATTGACCTCATAGGCAAATCCATTAATTAAATCATTACACTCAGGGTTTTACTGCTTCATCTTGTTCTTGTATGACTAGGGGGCAACCTCCAGGGGAGAAGTGAAACATTTGGGGTGCATAAAAGCTGCCTTCTATCAACAGGGGCAAGTCAACCGGTTGGAAGAAAAAGTCAAATTGAATAGAAGTCTATGAGAAAATGACCCAAGTTGTAGGGTGACCAGGTGACAACAAATCACATGTGGGACAAAGAGTGTGTTTGTGTGGGACAATGCGGGACATGCTACTGCGATGGTAACGTTAAGTAGTACAATATGACCTCCATCTAACCCTAACAAATTAAAATGTCTATTGAAACTATAGCCTATAAATATTAATTACATTGTTTGCACAAACTATGAAGTAAAGAGCTTAAAAACATTCAGTTTGAATGGACCTGGTCACCCTACCAACTTCTCACTTGATGTTTTTACTTCAGTATATCATTTCCTAAAAAAGTGTCAAATTCGAAAGCTTTAACCACAAACCAATGAGGGACGTCACGGTGACTTGAGCTTATGGTGGCTAATGTTAGCTTACATTTGCAAACTACGGGTAGATATTGCTGTAAAACAGTCTGCTGACATTGTGAATGTTTTTCTACTTTTGTATTTCTACTGTAACATCACATTGGCTCATTTAACATCATACTGTGATTGTCACAAAGTGTTGATTTAAATAAGTGGTTAATTATTTTGTTGCACAATGAGGACGTGACTGCTCTCTCACAGTTGATGAATGAACACCAAGCATTTATTTACCGCCTTTGAGAACTTGCTGACATGAGGAGAATAGTTTTTGAGGAGGTTCAGCCGGTGTGCATCAGAGGATCTATTTATACTGACATGTATCATCAACAAGTCCCCCTGTTGTCTCCCCTCCCGGACCTCGGAGCAGAGGGAGGCGGGGGGCTATGGGGGGTCGCTTGCTGGTGTTGTTTTGCTCCCTGGTGTGCGTGGGATGGAAGGGAGGCTGAGGAGTGTTTAGACAGTGTTCAAATGGTTTACAAACAGTGTGGAGCACAGCTCTGTCACATGCAGAGAAACCAAGGACCCCCCCAACCGTGGTCCACACAGTCTGCTGAAGACAGGAAACATCTGGAGAGAGAACGACAGAGAGGACAAAAGGAAGGAGTGAGGGGGGGGTGGTGACAATTACTCAGGACAAGGGTGTTGATCACTAAATACACTGGTTTCTACTTCTACTCTCATCTGTCTTTTTATACAAACACTGGGGTCTCAAATCTGAACATTTTAAAGACTGTATCAGTTATTAATCTTCTTAAAGTCAAGGTTGAATACTGATGTCGCTGAGACAGTACCAGCCCCTATTTCTTTTGGACCTGGATGGATCGTAAGGGTGATGCTGGCTGTGTTTTGTGAGAAAGTTTCACCAAACATCTTGTGGATATGGGAGACAATATTTCATGTGTTTGGGTGATGAGGAGATAAGCCGGGAACATGGGATGTGTTTTTTCTGAAAACGCTGCAACTACAAGAGAGCGAGATATATCAGAAGTCTAACTGAGACTCGATATTAGAGGGTCAGGAAAATAACCCTGATTCGGACATCGCGACCTTTGTCAGTTTTGCCATATTGCTGCTAAACCCTTCGTTAATACAGTTGGGAACCATAATTGGGGCGGGAGAGCAAAAGGTTTCGATTAAACAGAAAATATTTTTTTAAAAGGCTAAACCCTAACAAATGGCAATTTAAGCTGAATATTTTGTTGGATAAAACCATGTTTTGTATTTGAATTTGACAGAGGTGGGTACATTTACTCAAGTACTGTACTTAAGTAACATTTTGAGGTACTTTACTTGAGTATTTCTATTTTATGCTACTTTGTACTTTTACTCCACTACATTCATTTAATACATTTATTTAATTTGCAGATTTGGATGAATGATGTGAAATATAATCAACCCTTAAATCAGTCAAAGTAATTAAAACTAGCTGCACCTGTACCAGCTTTGATAACACTTTAATGCATCAATAGATATAAAACATATCATATATATTATTCTGAAATGGGCCAATCTGCAGAATGAGTGCTTTTACTTTTGCTACTTTAAGTATAATTTGATGCTAATACTTTTGTACTTTTACTTGAGTAACATTTTGAATGCCGGACTTTTACTTACTTTTACAGAGTATACTGTGGTACTTCTACTTTTACTCAGAGTACTTTTCCACCATTTAAAAAAAAAAGTTGCATACAATAATTGGAATGTTTTTTAGGAAAGCTACTGCAGATGTTATTATTGTCCCTCAAGCCATACTAGAGACTTGACATGATTTTGACCATTATTACGTTTACATCTGGCTCCTGTGATTCAATCACTTATCACCTTAGCTTAAAAAAGCTCAATGGAGTGTTGGATGGTTTCCCTGTCAAAGTTTAAAGGCACACGTTGACCCTAATTTGACCCCACATTATCAGATTGACATTAGCCCTCATCTTCCCACATGTTCAATCATTTGAACCTCTATCTCCAGCAGTCCTGAGACTCCTGACAGTCAGCTGGCTCTCTGTTGAATCGGCTCCTAACAGATCCCACAGTCGTCCTGGTCCAGCTGCTCTTTCAGAGGCTGCCAGTGGTCACACATGTTTTCTCAAAGGAGACAGGACGAGCAGAAAGCAAGCTGCTGATCCACACTCAAAGACGTTTCAGCCCGTCACAACACTGAACAACCACGACAGGGCTGGATGAAACCTCCCAAAAAGGGGATCAAAAAATCCTAAATGGCACTGGGAGCTCTCAGCTGCATCCTGTTGCGGAAAGTTCAAAAGATTTCGAAAGATTTTTATTATTTCCCCAAAGAGCCATAGAAGCAGTGAAGTCACACAAGTCACGTAAGAATACATTCCTATGACGCACTTTGTAAAGGCGTTTAGTTGACGCTTGAAATGTTCATTCATGACTCTGTTCCTGCACGTTCTCGCCCTTTTCTTTGTTGTTTTCAGTATGAGTGACCCGTTTGAACTGTTTATGGTGTTGACCAGATTCCACATTTAAGAGGGACACCTGTTGGATCGTGAGGCTCCTTATGTTTGTTTTATCCAGCTCTCTGAATGCTTGCAGTTTGACTAGAAAGTAGTAGCTTCTCTTTGAACAGAAAACTCAAGCAAGAGCACATTTACACCCTACTGTCGTCCCTTCACTGGCTTCCTTTATTTTAAGGATTGATTTTAAGTCTTTATTGTTTGCCGACAAATCGATAGCTGGCTGGCTCCAACCTGACCTCTCTCTGACCTTTTGCAACCACATCAAGGTCACTCAGGTCTGCTGACCAGTTATTTCTGGTTGTGCAAGATCATGATTGAAGCGCAGGGGAGGTCTCTCCCTAGACTCTGAAGAGAGTTACCTCTGCGTGTAAGGCTGGCTATACACTGCCTAATGTTTTAACCCTGTCAATACAGACATACGTATTCCTTGGGTTTACAGTATGTGCTGCCTTATCACCTTTATTATAATGGTCATGGTTCTGTTTGTCATATTTGTAAGGTTGGTTTGTCTGTCTTTCAGCAGGAAAACAGGAAACACTAGTAGGTGAGGGTGTGGGAAGGAGCCTAGAAATAACTCATTACATTTTAGAACAGATGTAACTCATGGGCCAGATGCACACAATCTTTTTGTCCTTTTAGAAATGGCCTCAGACCTTCTCGTTCTTTATTTAAATGTAACTAGTCTTTTGTCTTAAAGTGGTCACTGTGTGTTTCATTTGATATTTTCCAAGGGATTCTTTTATTTTTTGGTTTTGGCCATAACTGAAAGTTCCTTTACATGTGGTCTTTAAATGTCAGATCAGGCTGCCTAAAAATGGTTGCTAGCGTCCTTGCTGGAAAAACTGAATCAGATCACAAAGATAAAAACAAAATACCAAGAGCCTCATTTGAGTTTGCAGCTTTACGAAGTTGATTCATTTCTAAAACTTTCTTTTTCCATGTCAGACATGCTGGCGGACCCTATGGGCTACCCCCTGCAGGACCCTGACCTCCAGCTGCTCCCTTACAGCCAACAACAGTACAGCCCTGCCAACCTGCCTTTCTCCCTCTATGGCTCTCCACCTTCCTCCACCTCCTCTCCCTCCTCTTCCTCTTCCTCCTCACAGCCCTGCCACCTCCCCTACCACTACAGTCATCATTGTCTGGAGGCCCCCTGTGACCCCAGCCCGGAGCCCCACTGCAGGGGCCTCGCTCAGGGGCTCGGAGCGGTGGGACTGCCCCTGGGGCGGAGGACGCGGGTGGGGTGTGGAGGGAAGGGCAGAGGCCAGGAGGAGCTGTGTGTGGTGTGTGGAGACAAAGCGTCAGGGTATCACTACAACGCTCTGACCTGCGAGGGGTGTAAAGGTAGTTCTCACTTTTTTATGCTGTTTTTTTATTTTTCTGAAAGGTTTTTTTTTTTAACCTCGCCCTCTTTCCTTGTCTTGACTTGCAGGTTTCTTTAGGCGTAGTGTAACCAAAAAGGCGGTGTATCACTGTAAGAGTGGCGGTGGCTGTGAGATGGACATGTACATGAGGAGGAAGTGCCAAGACTGTCGGCTCAGGAAGTGCCGCGCTGTGGGAATGCTGGCTGAGTGTAAGCAAGCACCATTGCCCTTTTAATATGTGAAATTAAATATTCAACTTTATGTTATAAAAGAAAGAAAATAATGTATATATCATCCTTAAACAATATGTTTTTATTTAACTCAAAATGCCCATTTTCTTCTCAGGCCTTCTGACGGAGGTGCAGTGCCAGTCCAAGCGGCTGAGGAAAGGAGGGAAGGGCAGAGGACAGGAGGAAGAGGAGAGCCCAGAGAGCAGGAGGGTCAGCTCCACCAGCAGGCTACCTGGACAGGTAGAGAGCAGGACTCACTCTGATTGGATGGTTGCCATTTCTTTTCATGCCAGCTTCATAGCCCTACGGATCACAGTGTTGATCTGTCAATTGGAGAATTCTGGTCCAGACTGAAATTGGGCAACAGTTCCTGGAGGGACTGCTATGCCACTTTGTATAGACAGAGAATCCCCAGAGAATATATAATACTGACTTTGGTTAACCCCTTTCTTACTTTCTTTCTTTACATTTTGGAATTCAAACTCCTAAAAGCTCCTAAAAGAAGTCTATATCATTTTTGTAGCCAAAATGCTCCGATCCTTAAGAACCATTCCATTGGAAACTTTTTAAATGGTTTGATCCCATGGCCATTGCAACAAATATCCATGCATTATATTGTATAGTGCTTTGATCTTGAGTCCTGGCTTCATAATTGTATAGTTGTTGTTACTGTTTTCCATCGGATTCATTTTTTTATTTTTCATGTCGAAATTGATCTGATGGAAAACGGCCATAAGCAGTCTTGCTCATTGATTCACAAAATGTGCCTACAACGGCCTGATACATAAGCATAGAAGCCACAGGCAGAAAAGCTATGGCTCTTGGCAAATGTATATTGTTTCAGAGTATTTCCTCAAATTGCCCAGCCCCTGTTGGTTAAACAGTCGGATTGTCATATGTTATTTAGTTGTCAAATGATCAGGTTGGTTGTTTGTTAAGTGGTTGGTTGCCTGTCGAAAACATCATTGGTTATTTAAATGGTTCAAAATATGATTTTTTTTAAGGTTTGAGTATATTTTTTAAGGTTTGAGTATATTTGGTCAACATGTTGTTTTGTTACATCTCTAAGTGGTTTGTTGGATAGGTAATTTGATGAATTTGATTAATCAAATATCAGTTGTATAGCAGGTTGGATGATCAAGCACACCTGTATAAGACAATGGTAAACTCCCCTTCCCCTTAAGGTGGTCAGATTTAGCTATTTCGTTAATGGTCATTTGTTAACTTTGTTATTGCTCCAGGCTTTGTCTGCCAGTTTAACCCGAGAACAGAAGTACATTGTGGACCGGTTGGCGGAGGCCCATCCACTGTACAGAGCACAGGACACCAGCGACTGCAGGGTGGGTCACACATATGTGGAACAATCATTTGTACATCTGAAAGCTAAAAGAGATACATTCTTCATGTTGGTTGATCTTTTGCTCTGTACTCAGTTTGAATGGCCATGTACAGAAGAAATGGAGGGCTTGTCTGATTTCATATCTCCCCACATGCAAAGACTGCTACAGTTTGCCAGAACAGTGCCAGGTAAGGTGGAGAACATCTATATAAAGTATATTTTAATACTATAAATACATATGTTTATAATATTAATATAGTCTCTTATTAATGGGAAATATTCTCAAAGGAAAAGGACACTGAAATATCAAAGAGTTTAGTAGGAATTTATCACATTCTGTAAAAAATGATACAATCCTGTAACCATCAAACACACAAAATCCACATTTAAAAACAAATCATGATGTTCCCCTCACAGGTTTTGATCTCCTGGATTTTTCGGACCAGAGATCTCTGTTGTCTGTCTCTTCATTGGAGGTCATGTTCCTGCTCTCCGCTCAGCTGTTCTCCCACAACCCAGCATGCCCCAGTCCAGGTGAACAAAGACCAACACACACACCTCTATGATTCCCACTTGTTGAGAGTTCAGTCTACGGAAGCCCCGAGGGACAAAACAAGGATTTTTTAAAATTGAAACGGGGGAAATAAAGTTATTTTACTTGAATCTAGTTAAAAAGTGACTTGTTTATATGATTTGAGCGAAAACAGATTGGATAAAAGATTGGCTGGTGACATTTTTTAATTGTCAGGATTCTTTTATTAAGCGTTTGTCGTTGTAATACTCATTTTGTTATGTTAACTAACTTTAAGTTGTTCTTTGGCAAGGAATGCATTTGAATAAGCATTAATTAGCCGTAAGCATTACCTCAAAAGACAAATGGACAATGAAACTAGCCGTTAGTGTTACCAAGGTTATGGTGGTGTACTTCAGCCGCCTCTGCGCGAAAGGAGCATTACTTTCAACACATAAACCTGGCAAAACATTTATATATAAACATACTAGGGCTGCACGATATTGAAAAAAACTGACATTGCGATATTTTTTTCCCCTGCGATATATATTGCGTTTTTTTTAACTATATTTAACCGGATGAAGGATTTTAGTCACGGACGTCTGGATCTTAACTGGTTGACTCATCATACCTTAAGTCATGATCTAACATGTCATGATAATGCATGTTGCTTACCCTCAAATAAGGGGGTTCATCTGTGAATGAAGAAGAGAAGAACCTTTTTGTATCCAAAATAGTTCCAGATGGCAGATGTTGCTTTTCTTTTTGGAAGTAAATCTTCATTTTCGCCGGTATTGTCCTCCTGTGCCTCGCTCATTTTTTACCGGTGTTTTGATGGCCTGCAAACTAGCAGGACGGGGCCTGCTGTGATCTGATCAAGAATGATTGTGATTGGTGGTTTGCTGTACATGCAGAGCCTGCATGTCACTCACTCAAGTACCCCTGACATGAGAGCCGCGCAAGTTTTACTTTTGTAGCAAGCAGCAAAATAATTGTAACATGTCGTGTTTGAGTTAATTTACCTACTTAATATCGCACAAAAAAAATATTGATAAAAGAAATTAATAAAATCGCACGTCCCTGCGATATGAATATCGCGCATGCGCATATCGCGGTTATCGCCATGACACGATATATCGTTCAGCCCTAAAACATACCACCAAGATGATCTTGGAAAAACCCTTTTATTTCCCCATAAAAACAGAAATGACAACAATCAGACTAAAGAAATAGAAAAAATAAATGTTCATAGCTTTGTGGCTTCCAAACACTTCATTGAAAAATATTGACTATTTTTCTCTTTCATCAGCCCTGCAGATTTTTAGTATGTCATCACACAACTGGCTGAGAAATGTAGAGTCAAAGGAAAACTTCCACAGTAGGATGCTGCCAGTCAACTCAGGTACATGCAGACATACACTCACTCAGAAAACATCTTAAAGGTTGGAAATTAAATACAGTTAAAAAAATAAACAATATCCCATTTCCTGGTGTGAACAGGATGCAGTGAGGATCTCCTCGGGCCCGTTCTCAACTTCTTCCACAGCATGGCAGCGCTGCGGGTGACGGAGGCTGAGTACTCCCTGCTCACTGCGACAGCTCTGCTCTGCTCAGGTCAGACCAGAAACTCCCTCTGAAGGAAACTCTGGGATTTTAGCCTTTGCAGACCATTTACATGCACACACTATAAGGAAGGGAAAACCCAAAAGCATACAAGCGCCTCTTTAAGTCTGTAGGATACATTTTGTAAGCTCTGCCATTCCACAACACTTAATTCAGAGTAGTATTTTGATCATAATTTTTTTCGCCTCCTATGATTTGCACACTGTCAATATTTTTGCGATTTTGATGACATTCTAATTGCTAACACAAATTATAATAATTAAAATGAAGTGAAAATAAAACCTTCCTTTACCAGCTGCAACTTTAAAAATGATTACATTAAAGGTGGGGTAGGTAATTTTGGAGAAACCAGCTCGAGTGCGCTAGAATTTGAAAATACACAACCGGAAAAAATCTGCCACTTCCTTACAGAGCCCCTCCTCCAACACACACGAACGCGCACATGACCAATAAGGGCACGAGATAAGTTTGTGCACAGCCGGCTAAAATGATTGGTCGTGCTTTTTACAGTACTACGGCTTCCACAGATGACATTTTTTTATGGATTTTTTGTCAAAGCACTTAAGATATTCATTGCTATCGGGATGTTAAGAGCATTCCATGGAATACAACAAAAAGTGTATCTCGAGCCAGTTTCTCAAACTTACCTATCCCACCTTTAATGCATCACTTCTATTATACAATATTTATTTATTTATTAATCATAGGGTTTTTAATTCAGAATTGAATACTTTTACTTCTGTTTGTTTATATACATTTTGATCCAAATACTTTTTGAATGCAGGACTTTTACTATATTCTTTAAATTCAATTTGAAAAGGTCCAAGTACTTCTTCCACAACTGGTGACCGTAGACTTCATCAAGGCCTAAAATGGCTCTGCTGCTATTTTAAAAGCCTCAAAACTCACAACTGGGAAAAATACAAATTTGTACCACAGGCTAAGTTAAGCTGTGGTACACATTTGTATTTTCCCCATTCAGTAGCTGTTTGGCATCTTTAATGAATCAGACAGATTTATGTTTAGGTCTTATTAACTGGCACCTCTCTGTCCTGCAGACCGAGCTTCCCTGCAGGCTGCCAGCTGTGTTGAGAAAATGCAGGAAATGATCCTGGACCTGCTGTCCAGAGTGTGTGGGGCCCAGGCTGGAGCTGCGCGAGGGGGACCACAGCGGTTTGGCCGCCTGCTGGGCAGACTGACGGAGCTACGGACCCTCCGTCACAACTACCTCCTCCTGACGAGACAGCAGCTCAGACAATAACTGGGAGGACATGGTGGAACAAGGGAAAAACAGCAACACAATTGCTGTAAGAGCTGGGCAATTTTACAAAAACATTTGGGAAATTCCAAGGTTTTATCTGATATTGATAAGTCTGTATTGGATTATATGGCCTCAACAACAAATCTTTGACCATTTGCTCAGCGGACAATAGTCCAGCTTTCATTGAATTGAAGAAAGCTTTTGATGGGACTGAGATGTTTGCGGACTGCTAATTTGTTTGGACAAATATATTTTATAGGTACTTTTATAATTGGTGTATGCAGCTTACATGTAATTGTTATTCACTATGCTGTTGTAAAATAAAACCAAAAGTTTGAGTGAAACCCAGGACTAAATGGACAATACTTTCTCCAGACCTGTTGGCTCTTTCAAACATTATAATCAAAAGGTAAGACAAAATGTATACTGAAGTATGTCAGAAAATGGAATTGCTGTCGGGAAAAATAAATGAAGTCATTGTGTATTATGTTAATAAATATGCAAAAACGTAATAGCATAGTTTTTCAAAAAACATGTCAAAGTATAGTGCATCAGAAGAAAAAGAGGAAATTAAGTGTGTGTTAGGTTGAAAATTAAAATGTAAAAAGACGACATAACAAAGTATGTCTTAAATATCAGAAAATACCATATAGTATGTTGAAAATATTAAAAAAAACAAGATAGTGTAGTTTGTGAAAACATTTCAAAAACAAAAACGTATAGAATGGCAAAAATATCAGTCATTTAAAAAAATGTAATAAATAAGTAATGGGATAGTACGTATAATAATTATATAATAGCTTTTGTCTAGACATGTCTTTCTTTCAAAACAATGAAATGTATAGGTATTTTTATAACTGTTGTACAGAGCTAACTTGCAGTTACAGTACTGTTTGAGATGTCTGTGTGAATCATTGTTTGTAAAGTATTTACAGTATTTAAATATCTAACAAGTGATTATAATTGAATAATGAAAGAGTGTGAACTGATCCCACGTTTGCTTTTTTTTTTAAATAATAAAAAGACTGCAGTTAAGTATCCCAAAAGGTTTTAATAGAGCATTTATTTCCCAAATATGGAAATACTGTTTTAGACAACATATTTGGTGAGCAGGTAAAATATGCAGGTAGTACTACAAGCTTATAAGGTGTATCTTTCCATTTGATAAAATGGGGCTCTGGACAATAAATAGAATCTTCTGGGGGTCAGTGGTGAATGATGGCGGGGGGTCTTGAGTAAAATCATCGTTAACAACAAACCAAACATGATCTAATCTGTTAAAATGTTGACTGCATTTCTTTAAAAAACTCACTCTGTTGTTTTAAATAAGATTTAATTCTCAAAGTTCATCAATATATCTTTATTTCTATAATTCTGTCATCCATAAATAAATTATTTCTCTCTGTATCAAAAAGAGAATTCAGATTTAAAGAACAATGGCTCATTGTGTTGTATGCTCTCAATGTACACACAAACACAGCACAATGACATGACGTAAAGACGAGCGAAGCACACTGCAGCACGTCAGGAATTATTTCATCTCCGCAAATATACGCAGCCTCGCTTTGCCCCTGTGGCTTGATTGAAATACGCATTTTAAAAACAGCAACATTACATTAAATCGGGCCTGATAAAACACATACATATGTACACAAAGTGTGCCTTAATAATATACAAGTGTCTTTGTAAAAGATTCAAATGTAAAAAGCTATTGTATAAAAGATGGCAGTGATCCATTCATACGTCTTCTATAAATATGTCAAATCTCTTTTCCTGACAATTTGATTCCTTGGCAGTAGCATGATACAAAATAGAGGGGAATTATTTTACATTTGATCCACCACACATCTAGGTGGAGTAAGCAGATACCTCGATACGTCCCTGAACAGGGTTTAACGCTTACTGACGCAGCAACGCAGGACCTAAAGGGAACTTCACCCCCCCCGACAGGAAGGCAAACACCACCGCTGTGTGTGTGTGTCACACACACTTGTGGTTTGGTACGACAGTCCAGGACTCTGTGCTGTGGCGACCTCTTCAGATCGCAGTGTGAATACAGATTCCACTTGAGTAGGCCCACCTGCTGCTTTAAGACCAAGGGGAGATGCATAGTGTCTGACTGGGCTTTAAGGGCTCAGCGCGCCCCCTACAGGTAGTTGGAGGCCACGAAGCCGTGGCTGTGGCTGACCCGGCTCTGGTGGATCATGGCGCGGTCGTACGCCACCTGGACAGACTTGCGGATGCTGGTTTTGCGGCCCTCCATTATCCGCAGCTTGTCCGCTGTGTCGTCCACACCCAGGGGTGTAACCTTGTCACGTTGCAGCCACTGCCTATAGGACCAGAGACACAGGTTGATGATGTCACTGCTTTGGACCCATTGCATGCTGATCCTTGTGTTTAATGTAAAGATGTACAGAAAAACTATACAGATATTCATTATTTTTTAAATAAGATAAAATTCAGGCCACAAAAAAGCAAATGGAATAAAATGATGAAACAATTACTGAATAATAATTAATGTATTTTTCTTATTAAACTGTATAGGCTTATAATGTGATATCAAATTTAATTAGATCTAAGAAACAGATTGGTCTTTGTTAAAAAAACAAAGTAACACTTCTTTACCAAGGATTTGATTTCCCTACAAAAACTAGTTATTATGTAGGGATATATATATATATATATATATATATATATATCAATTAGATATTATAAATAACGTTTGGGTCTGTTGAAACTTCAGTCTATTTTTATTAGTTTTACTCAGAAGATTCGGTCGTGTTTCGATTCTAAAGACCTACTTTTATTAATCGTTACGCTATGGGTTTTCCAAACAAGTGCCATGCAAGTTAAATGTGTACATTATTGTTGAAATGATATGGAAAAGCACAGTGTAGTTTTTTTTCTGATGTAGAGGTAGGGTATAGGATGCAACTTAGGCATTATGAGGTTTGATCATTTGCTGGGTATTTAAGTAACTGTAACAATTTGAATTCTAATTTCATAACACCCAAGGTTTAGAACCACCTTTTTCATTACTTCACATGATGGTTAATGACATTGACAGGCCAATATCCAATAAAACATGTAACCCAACATGTAAATACAATTAATACAAATCTAGTATTCTTTTTAAGAGCAGCAGCAGCCTGGCTAGCCGTTAGTGTGTCAGGAGGAGCTCTGCAGTAAACGTGTCCGTTCGACCCTCACCATGTTCGCTTGTTGTCGAAGAACAGCACCAGGTACAGCCTCTCGTTGGCTTCCTCCTGCCTCTGCTCTCCCAGACAGAGGACTTCTTTGGGGGGGACAGGGATGGGCACCCCGTTGTGCAGCATGCCCTCCTCGGGCATCTCTGGGTCGATGATCTGGAACCGACACAGTCAGTCTCACAAGAAATGTAAGTCTGTTTTAGCACTGCGCTCACACAGCCATTCTCTTCCTATTTCAGTTTCTACATCGGTTTAAAGGTCCCATGTCGTGCTTTTCCGGTTATTACCCGCCCCCTTGTGTGTTATGAAGGTTTTTATGCATGTAAACGGTCTGCAGAGTCAAAAACCCTCAAAGTACACCCTGTAGGGAGTAAAACTCTAACACAGAAAAGACCCCCCCAAAACGCCTCGTTGGAGCGGACAGGCTTCCGCTCCTCGCAGCAGATCGCAGCAACGAGCCTCTCAACGTCCCGACCAATCAGAGCACACTGGGCTCACAGGGAGGAGGGGGCAGGAGCTCGAACAAGCCGTTTAGGACAGAGAGTGAATACCGGTGAATACACGTACTTTACAGAGATGCTGTATGAGAAACCAATGTGAGTTTGGAAAATTGCACAGTATAAATCTATTTTAGTATACCTCAACAATGGAATTATGATCAGTAGAAATGGCCATGACATGGGACCTTTAAGTCACAGTCAAGCTCACTTATGTAAATGTTGCAAAATGTGCATACAGCATTTAAGAGCTAGACTTAATAGTGATATTAAGGAGAGCAGTATGTCAAAAAAGTTATAGTTTAGCATGCCATAAAATAAGTCAAATTATTATATGTGATAGAAAAAAACAACGTTAATGCTTGCAGTAAATCCAGAATCTCAACGCGGTATTTTTTTTTAATAATGCCAATCAATCACAATACCAATTTTTCCAACTTCCTCCTGTAATTCCAGAGTGGATTTGACCATAAATTGCATGGAAGTGAAAAGGCAAAGAAAGCAAAGGAACTGGCTCAGTCTTAGTGCACTGACTGGAGACCACTGGACATCCGTAAGGAAACATTTGTGACAAGAAAGTCAGACTATAGTAAATAAAAATGCGTAGTATATCCTAAAAAGTCATAGTAATGTATAAAAAAAAAGTTATTAAAAAAGTAATAGTTGCAGGCCGCCTGGTATTGGTAGAGCTGGCGGCCTTTTTTCCTGCCTGTCACCCCCTCTATAACCCTGTTTCCATTCTGTCTAAAATCTAAAAAGTAATAGTCTTATGTCATAAACAGTCATAGTAGTATAAGGATTTACCAGAGCAGGGTAGGAGGGGTACCCCCGACACTTGGCCCACACCAGATCCAGAGGCTCCAGCTCCGTCCCATCATCAGACACCTGGCTGCTGTTCCCTGCAGCAGCAAAATATATTTATTAAAAAGAAGAACATTTACAGGACACATGTCATTTCTTTTGAAGCCAAAGTGTTTGGTTTTGATGTTTTGGAGGGACAAAAGGGTGACATACAATCTTATACAGCAGGGGAAACATACCAGTGTAGTCTGTGTCTCCATTGACTATATCCAGAAATGGAACTTTGGAAAGAGCTGGTTTCCCGAGGCTCCGTTTGGGTGGAGAGCAGCTGTAACACGGCACATCGTACTGTTATTGTATTTTAATCATTACCATCACCACACAGCCACTGACAGCAGATATGTCACGTCTTACATTTCTTTGAGCAGGACTGGACAAGGGCTGTACTCAGAGTCGGACCCGCCGTCTTTGTGCTTGTTGAAGCCGTTTGTTAGTCCTGAAAGCAAAGGAGAAAAATCTCAGAAAACCAGGAGGTAAAAACAGTTAAGGGCACATCTAAGCGCAGGAATCTTGAATCTCATATCAGTAGCAAGGAAAACAACACAGCATTACCGTCATATAAAAAAAGATTACAGCACAGTATAAACACAGATAAGTATCTGTGTAAGGGTAGAGGGAACTTTTGTTTTGATGATTTGGTAAATACTTAAAAAACGAGTTCCTGTTCTGTGATTAGGTAACAAGAGGATGCAAACTTGATGTGATGAACAAAACATTTAAATGGCTAAAACACAAGTTACAGACTGCTTCTTTATCTTTTTAACGAGGGACGACAAGCCTGTTTTTAAAGCAAAAATGTAGCTACATTTAGCTTTACTTAGAAGGGAAACTGTAGCATCTGCAACGTACATTTCATTCATTACTTCACTTTGATTTGCCGTCAAATACCAATTTGACGGCAGAATTGGGGTGATGTGGTCACGCTTTTTGTGGCCAGTGAGAAGACGCGCAGCTGCGTTCTGCACTAGCTGCAGGCGTCTAATTGGCGCGTATAGAGCGTTGCAATAATCCAGCCTTGTGGTTACAGTCAGATATTATATAGGACATGTTCACTGTCTAACACAGCGATGTTAAACCAATGTAAAGCCTCTCACCCCGTTCCAGTGTATGGTTTGGCGTCTTCTCCAGCTCACTATCTGAGCCCATGTTTCGACTGGGGGTCCGTTGTTCATTGAGGGTGGGGGGTCCGGGGCTTTTCTGTGGGGTCTTGGATGGAGTGGACAAAGGTGTGGAGGCTGGGGTACTGGCTGTGGAGTTGGGGGCTGTAGGGGCGTCCTGCGGCCCCTTCCCGTTCAGCAGAGGATTGTCTCTCTCTCTGAACAGCTTCGCTCCATTTTTTGCCTTCTTGAACAATACAGAGGTTCGTCGCCCGACTCCCCCAGTGGTGGGCCGCGGGGGGGAGCTGAGCTCAGGCAGGCCATTGACCACCGCCTGTCCTTCGCTGTGCAAAATGGGTGGGGGCGACGCCGGCCGCTCCTGTGCTTTAGTGCAATTCAAGTTCTCTGTGGTGCCGTCTGAGGGCTCACATTCCATCTTGAGGCGTTTGCAGGCCCAGTTGGAGGGCTGGTGCTCCCCTGTGATTGGCCGCAGGGTGGGAGGCCCCAGATGTGCGTCCCCGCAGCGTGGAGGCGGAGCCGGCCCTGTTGGCTCCAGTTTTGGGGGAGAAGTGGATTTGACGTCTTCTGGAAGATAAGGAAGACAAAAAAATCAACTCAAATTTCACTCAGCGTCAATTTCAAATGAATGTCCATTTAGTATGTAGTGTGATGTGGTGGTGTAGTTTGCACATGGTGTCACTTCATAATGGGTTACACTTCCATTCTAACAGTCTAACCAGAGCCCAAAGGGAGTCGGGGCGTTGTGTAGATATGGACGAGCTTATCAAGACGAGTGAACATTAACTTTGCTCTCACAACTGTACACCAGCAACATGGTAACATGGCAGTATTTAATGACTGACACAAATCACAGGTGTTCTGCCCACCTCCTCTACGGCAGCAAGAGACTGCTTGACTGGAGCAGTCTGGAGTC